AACTAAGGACAGATATCTTAGGAAAAAAAAGAAACCGTACTTTTATAAACTGTTCTGGAACAGTATGAAATGGTATTCTGATTGCTTCGTATTGTTTTTGCAGCTTATCCAAAGTAATTGCATGCTCAGGCATCTGCTTCTTTAACTTGGAGAAATCATATTTTGGCAGTTCCGCAGGTTTAGACATCACAGCATTCAAGTATTGCTGATGACATTGCTGGAATATTAAAAAAGACGGATATAAGCCAATGCTTAATTACATCATATATTTTAAATAGGCATTAAAACGATAGAAATTGCGGGAGAAAAAATAATTAGATGATACAGTGAATATATGATAATGGAAAGCAATGATAAAAACAAATATATGAGTAATGTGACATTTACAGAAGTAACGAACTGTAGATAGTGTTATAAATATAACGGTAATTATGATGGAAAAAAATATTACAATGAATAATAAGTGATAAATCTGTAAGAACAAGAAAATACTTACAGCTAGAGCAGTTACTTCTTTGGCGTGCTTTTCGCCGACCAAATCACCGACTGTTTTGAAATTGATAGCACTTTTGGTGAATCGTTTGGTTGCCATCTAGCAAAGCTCAAAATAAACAACTGGTTAAAAATAGTCGCCGGGTAAAAAAATAATGGACACAACATCCCATGTCCATTTCCAGGAACAGAATGGAACGGCAGATAGAAGGAAATACAGAACCGTACGATAAAAGGATAGCAATCCTAAATGCAGAGAGAAGGATCAACAAAACACCAGATTATGTAAACGGATCACGTCATTCCTTGGAAACTGTATGCCGATGATAATACACAAAACTGCTACCACGCACAATCCATACTACGTTATCGGCCCACCATGAAATACCGGTTGGTCCTATGCCAGGTTCGCAGGATCCATTCGAGTAACGATGGTACTACACACGTACCTAGATAGGGGATGAATACATTATGGAAGGTGCATCATGCTTCCTGTTAGTGCTACATGTACATGAGTGCAACAAGCAAAATAAAATCACCCTGCATGTTACTATGAATACTATCGATATTATAGTGTTATACTATTTCACTTTATGTATTTGATTAGAAGCGGGTATACCATTCAAGGTACAGAACATTACCTGATATTAGCATGCTTCTGTGATTTATTGTATGATAGAAAGTATTTCGCATTTACATTAGAAACTGTGGTATTAACTATACGATATGATTGATATATATGATAAATACTCCTTCAATATTTCATCCGATAATGAGAGAAAATGCTTAATTGTTGGTTATTTAGTAGATGTTATTATTTCTTCTTCTTTATTAGCTAACTTATATGGTTTTAAGGGAGATATCTAACTGTTCGTTTATAAATACACAGTTGCATAAATGTAAATAAGCATGAATACGCGATACTTTGTTTATCCGCAAATTGCAGAGAGGATTTATGACCTTTCCAAATCTCTTGATATACTCCCATTCTGACTTATATAACCCTTTTTAAAGACATAAACTAATATATTTCTTCATGTTTGTTTCATGTAATACACAGACATTGCAAGCTTTTAGTGCGTGAATTTTTTTTGATAGATTACTCATTATTTAAATAATCGTATAGCTATAGAAAGGTAAATTTATTTCATCTCAAGAATCAGATATGAAATTAGATGACGCGATGTTATGTCTTATCGCAGATTAGTGTTGCTCATCAAATTTTGAGCTTATCAAGATAAGATCAGAGGACCAGTCGTGATGTTTTCAGTGATCAGATTCAGTTCTCTCTGTTGAATAATCGCTCTTTCCTTTACGAATTCATTTCTTCGTTTCTTCCTTCATTTCCAATTCAATTTGTTTCTATTAACTGATCAAGATAATATGATCATCAGGAAGCCTTCTGCATTTCCACCTCATCGGTAGAATTATTTGTCTTTGGCGAAATGACTGCTTCATTTTTATAAAAGAATTCGGTAGAAGGATTATAAATTTTATCAGAATTTGTTAAAAAGAAAGACAAATTTTTCAAAAATAGTTAAGTCGTCCGTGAAAAATTGAAATTACTACCGTTAACTTGGCCACTAATATTATAAATTAAGGAAAGTTCAGGAAGGGTGTCAACAACCATACTTAAAATATATCCACAATAGGCAATGTTAATGAGTGAAATAATTTCACTCACTTATCACTTCATTTGTTCTTCCATTTTGTGTTCAATTTAAATTTATCGGTTTGTTCAGATTTAAATTTCAACTAACAAATTTTGAGCAGAGTTGTGAAAAATCTTTATCATCATTTAATACAATAACTTCTTGATGTCTAAATAGTTATACACGTATCGCTATCACAGCAGAGGTATACAATGAATGGCCATAAGGCGTAAACTAGGATATATAAGTTATAGTTTTCCTTGCTTCTTTTTTTCTGTTAAATATCTCTTTTCTTCCTGCAAAAAAGCCTGAACAATATCAATGCTAAAAGCACACCTAGTCTGGCAACAGCAATCGTAAACAATATTTCATGCATATTTGTTTTCAGTAAAAGTTTCAATCCAACGCACGTCAATCAATGATGACACGTGAGCGTTGCAACGAATTTCATTATTAAATTTAATTTGTAAACAAAAGAATTTCCAAAATTTCCTGCTTTTTGAAAAATGATTACGTCAATGACAATAACAAAGAACAAATTATCCCATATCTTTGCATAGACGAAAAGCCCCTCGAAATTGTTGCTTGGGGCAATCACTGAGAATGAGGAGAGGGGTCGATATTGGATAGTTCCACCCTATTCCCCCTCCCTCTCTCCCTCCCCGCCAAGATATATGTTCATGTATGTGTACGTGTCTGCCTGTGTATGCGTGTGTGTGTGCGTCGTGTATTGTGTGTATGATATATGTGTATGTCTGCGATTGTATGTGTTTGGATGTATCCGATGTATATGAGAAGGAGAGGCGGGTGCGTGTATTTACTGAACCGAATAATGCACAGCCCACTCTTTCTATTGATCCAAAAATGAATTGAAGAAGGGAGAAGGAGAGAGAGAGAGAGAAAGAGATGAAGTCAAGAGAGGAGATATAGAGATAGAAAAAGAAGGCAATGAAGAAAATAACGAGCTAAAAGGGGATCAAATGATTTTGGGGAAAAAGGGAGATGAGAACGAGAAGAAACGAAGTGAGGGAAGTTTTGAATTCTCACCAAAGGATAAATAAGGATGGACAGCTTCCAATGCATATTTCCCTTATCCTCAATAATTACTACTTATCTTAAAGTCGTTGGACATATTTTTGTTGTAACCATACAGTCCTAAAAGTTTGTCTCAGCGGGACAGTGTAGCAAGAAGTTATCATCACCATTCATCGAAACGATATCACACCTCTTTCCGAAGCAATTTTAAATGGCTGTAACGATGATGATGATACTGATGATGTTGACCTCTATCTGTACACAGATGCAAATACACACACATACATTTGTCATAAAGGTAAGGTTAACGGTTAACCTTCGCAGCTGTTCCGGATAATATCGTTTAGTGTTGTCAGTCTTACTTTCTTCGATTATGTACGGACTTGTTGTGTAGTTGTGTATGCTTTCTATTATATTTCATCTTTTTTTATTTTCTTTATGTATGTTATGTAAGTTTACCATAACTGGTCTTAATGTTCCCTCTAATTTCCTTTTAATACTCTCCCTCTCTTCTTCCCACTGTCATTTTTAATAAATCCCTTTATTAGACTATCTGTGTCTCTTTTCTTTTTCCTTTTTTCGGAGGAAGAACGAGGGAAATTGTATATTGCTTGCAAACGTTTTATATCATTTTCTTTTCTTTCTTTCTCCAATATATCATCCCTATTCATTTCAATGATATTTGCTGAATAGAAAGAAGTAGAAGTGAAGGGAAGAAGGCGATGACGACAGGAAAAGAAAAGAAAGGGAGGATAAGAGAAGAATGAATGATGAAAAAGAGATGAGAATAAAACTTATTTCTTCTCTCCTTTCTCTCTCTCTCTCTCTCTCTCTCTCTCTCTCCTTCTTATTGTGTAAAAAACGAAAGAATTCGTTCCTTCTTTCCTTCGTATTCGAAACGGAAAAACAATCCCTGTGTGTGAATGTATTTTTCTCTTTGTTATAACAAATGTTCTGTATTATTGTTCATGATAATGATAACAATGATGATTAAGATCGTAACGATGGTGATAATGATGATGACAGCGATGAGCCATTGATGTAATGCCTTTTTTCTTCGCTCCTACTTTAAGCAACTATACGCACATCTGATCCTGTTAATGTCAGATGAGATGCATTATGATAGCGTTTACGCTTATGGGATGATTTCAGCTAATGCTTATCAAAGCATTTATCAAAAGCAAATCGCAAGAGGGCTACGAACCTGGGACAGCTAATCATGTACTTACCGAGAGATAATTTATTCACAAAATAAAAAGCATGCTTTTCTCATTCTGTCCTCAAAAGATTGGTTCCAACAATGAATTGCAAGACAATTTTTCCGATAATTCCAGCTAACTGTAAAATCAATTTTTCCTCATCCTTCATCAAAATGGCAAGCAGCCTAATGAAACAGTACAGGCCTATCCCATAAAGTCATATCGAAACTCCCGTGAAAGCAAAAATTATCGACTTTTATGGAAATTGTGGTATTCTGTGGTTAACATATCACTGTCACCCTCCGAATCCGAGAGATGTGGGAGGGAATATATTGAGTTCCTCTCATGGGTTACAACGTTATTCTAGAAACATTCCAACATTGAGTTTACTCGAACATTATTTCATTATCTACTGCACTTTTTGGGATATAGCTTCACTGGAAGTCCCCCAATTTTATGCTATATTGAAGTGCAATTAATTCCTAGAATGGGAACTACTCGGTGGTGATATACCACAGTATTGCTTGGAATTTTTGTTGCAATTCAAATTCCGATCGATAATAAAAAATGCTTATGCAAAGAATGAATACAAAGAACATACTTCTTTCCTTAAAGGTCAATAATGATGACCCAAATGCAGTGTATCGCTAAACTGATCTCACATCTCACACCAATATTATGTTTGCCGTCCTCATTTAATTACTCTGCCCTGGACAAGAACGGTTACAATCCGGATGAAGCAGGTTTACTGAAGGAGGTTGGTTCCTTAAATGTGGCACGTAAGTGGGATGTGTCTGTATGTTCATATGATGGCCTTTGCGAGTGCAATGAACAACCACTGGCAAAGCCATTAATCTTCCATTGGAATTACAGTATGATCTATGGGTATATTCCTGCTCTTGCTCCTGCTATATGTACGCCATAAATGAGGTTGGTTGTAGGAAGCGTTCCCTTTGTCCTCTTTTGCAGGGAGAGGTGGAGGGAGAGAGAGAGAGAAAGGTAGAAAGAAGTGTAGGTGGAAAGGACGAGAACGGAGATCACATGTTCCAATGATCGATTTAGAATAGAGGATGATATCGGTGATGATGGCATGGCGTGAGAGTTGTGAAAGGGGAAAGCTTCGATCAATCAACAATTAGAGAGTTTGATAGAATGGAAAAAATGGAAGGGAGAAGTTCGGGGAATTGATGAGAAGGGAGCGGATTAGGAATATTTACGAGTAGCAATTCTCTTCATTCGTAACTGAGGGGGTATATATGCGTGTGTGTATGTGTGTGCGTGTGCATGTGTGTGTGTATGTGTGCGTGTGCGTGTAGTCATCTGTGTAATTTTATTTCAGAGTGGGTGGGAAATGGAGAAGTGGGACAGTTGAGACGAAGTTAACATATTACAGATAGCATAGTTCTTTATGGAGAATGTTACCCGACCCATTTCAGCCGTCCGGGTAGGTTAACGACCATATCATCTTTTCCTCTCATTAAATTAACAATAGAGGAAGCTTAGTTTGAGTGTATGAGTGATGAATGTTATTAGGCTATAAACATTAGATTACAGACAGAATGTTTGGTGGGAAAACTAAAACGAAAAGATGGAGTTCAACTGTGCAGCCAAAGGAAGCGTTTGAAAGGCAGAGATTTGATTGTAATCTGTGCACGGTTGTTCGGCTACGAATCTTATAAATGTTATGATGATGAAAATATTGCTGATAACATTAATCTGATCTGCGCACTGTATTTGTTGCTTAGAGAAGTACCAATGAAAAAGCACTAACGTAATTGATGTTCTAATAGATTGATCGTCCAAAATGAGGCTTATATCCACTAGTATCACGCCTCCAAATTACTCTCATTATTATATTATCCTATGCAGACTTTGGAACTTCCAATTCAGCTAACATCACCACTATATGAGGAACTAATTAAACTTACATCCGGCGAGACTTGCTTTTAATATCTTATTGATAAATTGGCCTGTACTATCATTTAGCTAAATCAAAACGTCCCTCCAAATCAAATGAAGTCATTTAACGACATGCAAAGTGTAGTGACATATGTTCGGGGATGTAATGATGCAATCATCCGAGGAGCTTTGCGAAATGCAAGACTGGACTTTTGCAATAGGATGACAAGCGGGTGTATTATACAGCAGCAAAAGATGTTTTCAGGCTATATCACTCGCCACATTCACATAGACTCTCTATATTAATTTACTCCCCTGCAGCTGCATCTTAATCAAACTGAAACATCCATTGTACAACAGAGATCCATAATGCCATTATTAAAAGTTTTTGTGTGAAGACGTCGTTGCTATGCATTGTAACTAGCAATTATATTCATTCATTACTCCATCCCACTTTAGGTAATGATGATTGGTTCAATGGTTGACTTCGTGACTGTGACCCTTTCCCGCAAATCTGACACATCCATGCCTCGCATTCTGCTGTGCAATAAAATGTCTTAGGGAAACCTGAAAAGTTTGGATGTTCTAATACGAACTATTTCCATCCCGGAAACTAGGCTCAAGTGGGGAACACCATGAACTGCTCAACTTTCACCAATATGGTTAGTCTCTACTTAGGTAATACTCGTGAACACAAGGTGGCATAATACCCATTATGTATTGATAGTAGACATTTCAGGAACTATGAAATCGAAATGATGGGATGTTTCACTTCAATATATTGGCAATGAAACTTCGACGGAAAACCACAGGATTTTGGTAAGCATTTTAGCTCCGTTACAACAATATATACCCAGCAAATCTCCTCAGTATTGTTAAATGAACCGTACCATTCATTAAATTCTAAGACTTGTTATTTTGCAGGCCCAAATATTCACCTTCGAACACTGCCAAACGCCACCAGTAATTGGCTAATTCAGGTAAGAACTAGTGACCTATTGTAGAACATCGACAAAACAGTTGCCATCAAATTTCCTGTTTGTGGTATTCAGTACTCATCACAGTGGAATTCCTAATAGCCCATTTCTGTAGTAGTGACAAATATTCAATGCATTGGAGCTTAACATATGAAATACTGAAAAATATGCCAATAACCCGAAATTGCCCACGCGACGAATATTACTGATAAGATTTCATGTTAGGCTATTAAAGTAACTACGGAGAATGTGATGACACTTATATAATGTGAAAAATACCGGCGCATATATTTGCGCCCTCATGACACGAAATAAACATGTTCGAAGTGCTCCAATCTGTGAAATTTTCAGCAATTTTTATCAATAGTCTGGTCAATAGAACTAATTAGAACTAATTTGTTCATGCAACCGGCTCAATTTTGTTATTTTTCGTTATCTTATCAAACTTCAGTCCATGAATTATCCGTTGCATTGAGAGCCATATGCTGCTATGTTAAATCAAATGAGAGACAAGAAGTGTCGTATCTAAAAGCGTACCTTTTAAACGATTTACGAGATAAAGCTGTCAGAGTACTATCTCCTGTTTAGCATAATATGAAGTAAAGATAGTGGTAGCAGGGGGTGTGGAAGAATGCGTAGAGAGTATTTTACGACGTGTGGATATTTTACGGACGGATGATGACACGTTGCGTGGTATGTTTTATTTCCGTATAAAATATGAACGAAAAAGGAATGGAAAAAGGGTGTAGGGATGTACCTATATCATGATATATATACATGAATATATATATATGTGTTGTGTGTGTGTGTATGTGTGTATTTAAGGGACAAGGAGGCCCAGATAGATTGGCACCCACAGTGATGAGTCATTGCAAGTTGAATCTGAATTGGACTACACCACTTCATAAACACAATGCATCACAGCAGAAGACAGAAAACCTCCATCTCCACCGCCGCCGCCGCTGCTGCTGCTGCCGTCTCCACACCATCACCACCACCATCCACCCCGACGACACTGCACACGAATGAGAGGTTTGCTATGGAATGGATAGCAGACGAGGTTGAATGGGCGGTACTTTGGACATGTGAATGGGTGGTTCCAGAACGGCAAACGGTACTTGAGATTAGTAACGACTCCCCTTTACTCCCTTTGTCCAGTCTAAATGATAGGAGAAGGGTAGGATGCAAGATAAGAGGAGAGAATTGATATTCTATTCGGAAAAGCAGAAAGAGAGAAAAAGAAGCAGAATAGAAGGGGACCTTAGATGTGAATCCCTCCCCTCATCCTTTAGGTGTAAGCGTTTGGTGCTTTCTGGGGTGGGTGGAGGAGGGTTGTTGTGCTTGCCACGTCAGTGCAATCGTTGCAGAATCGTTGTATGTGATTCTGCTATTGACTGACTGACGACAATGGAGGCGACAATGGCGCAGGCCGACGACTACGGCGATAACTGCTACTACTGCTCTTATTACTACTACTATTACTGCTACTACTACTACTGCTACTACTACTACTGCTACTACTACTACTACCACTAACACTACTAATAACTACTAACTACTACCGCTACTATTACTATTACTGCTACTACTATTACTACTACTATTGCTGTTACTATTACTGCAATTACTATTACTACTACTGCTACTGCTACTACTACTACCACTTCTACTACTGCTACTGCTACTACTATTACTTCCATTGCTACTGCTACTACAGCTACTACCATAGCTACTGATACCACAGCTACTATCACAGCTACTGATACCACAGCTACTATCACAGCTACTACTATCGCAGCTACTACTACCACAGCTACTACTATCACAGTTACTATTACCACGGCTACTACTACCACGGCTACTACTATCACAGCTACTACTACCATAGCTACTACTACTACTAGTACTACTACTACTACTATTACTACTGTTACTTCTATTACTACTACTCTTGTTACTATTGCTACTATTACTACTGCTGCTACTGCTACGACTACTACTGTTACTGTTACGCTACTATTACTAATAACTACTACGCTATTACTACTAACACGATATACTGACTATTACGATACTACTATTACTTTTGCCACCCCTTCAAACAATGCACAGTATATCCTACATTCATCCATCTTTTTGGTTCTTACTTCCCGAAATGTATGCTGGTCTGATCATGTCTACCGGGTTTTCATTTTTTTTTCACATATTCCGTTTATATTATCATTCATTTCCCTTCCGCGTGTATTTTATCTTTTTTACTGAAATTGGATTGATTTTGTTCACATTGCATTGATGTATGGATGTTCCAAAGAATGAATTTCCGTTTCCGTTTTACTGTTCGTCTTTCATTTGACATTGCTTTTTGTGGTATTTATCATATGATTGAATTTATGTGAAGGAAATTAATTAATAGGCTACTTTTTCCTGTTAGCGTTGATGTGAGATATAGAAATACTGTTGATTATCTGTTGAATATTATCAAGTTAGGATACACATTTACATCTCGTTTTGGAGACGTTACTGAAGACTGTATAGGTCGGCTGATGTTTTAGGATGACCGTTTATAAAGTATATGATTATTAGTTTGCATATTCTCATTCATTTTTTGGATCAGTGTTTAGCTTTATAACTCATGAAGTATGTGATATGGATCGGTCATCTGAGAACGAGTAATTTTTAGATGTAACAGAATCATTTTATTCTCAAGTTATCAATTTTTCTGTCAGAACTTTACAAGTTGGTTGTTTTCTTCGACAAGAACATTAGGCTCGTCAGCTCTACTCCAATAATTCTCTTTATGTTATGGATGTTTGTGATGGAAGCGAGCAGCGTCCCTTGCAATAATGATTCGTCGGTGCAGTTAGCTCAATTTGTCTTACTTTTCAAGCCATATGACAGTTTCTTTAACTAGAGTGATGTAGGGCTTTTATGATATAAAGAAGCGTTGTTCTAATTTCTTGGAGTGAAGCGAGTTTTTAGAAGTGCATTCTAAGAATGGTATAATTTCTTGCTATATGAATTTGGGTCGAAGTCCATTTTCATTTCGAAACAATTTTTGGGATTGAATATAAGAAATAGAAGCTGGATAGGTATCGATAGCTGGATACACTTATTTATAGTGAGAATTGGTGCTCTTTTATTTCCAAACTCATACGATTGTCGGGTTACATATGAAAGACATGATCAGGAAGAAATATCAAGTATCAGGAGGTGTTTAAGTCTGCTGCTCGACAGTTGTGTTCTTAGTATTTATTCATCGTTAACGCCATTAGGGTTGCTATTGTTGTTACTTGGTCTTCCTGATGCATCATCTCAAGCTTTATTCCTGTTCTCGACCTCTAATCATCTCATTATCTGAACTCCTTGCTACTGGTTGAACATATTCACTTTTCAATTTTGAAATTTTAGCAGAGAAATGACAGTGTTCTTCCCATCGTAACCATTTTTTTTCTTTGTTTACAAAACGATACGTTAAACCTTATTTTCTCTTTGCAGAGAAGAATGTATTCAGAAAATGGCGTTTGATTTCTGTTGTTGTGGATAAAAAGGCTGCCACGATGCGGAGTATTAAAGGATATTTTTGAGTGATTAGGCATATCTCGAATGTCAGTAATGTTAATATGTGATCGTCACATTTGATCAAACAGATATAATTTTTCATTCTTATTCTTCCATGTTGACCAATTACCTTGATAAAGATTCCATACTGCAGTACAATGAGCTTGATACGAGTTAGACGAGAGAGTGTGAAAGCCGGTGAATTGCTCTCTATCTTCAGTTTGGTATTTTTACAGTGGCGCTATCGTTTATTTCACATAGGAAACTGGTTCGAGTGTTTGGCATCGCTAAGGATGAGATATACTTGGTATTTCTCCCCAACGGCTTTTAGAAATCCTTAGCTAAATAACTGGAATAATTGCTTTGTTTATTCCCGGTGAAGGGGATTCAGGAAAGCATGATGATTCATTCGCTGTTAGTTCATATTCCCATCGTTTTATGGATTGAATTAGGAAAGGAGAAGGGAGCATTTCTGAACAATGTTCAACATTTTGGTCAATTATTAGTCTTATTTGATTTTCTTTATTAAATGTTAGGCATGGACATCCATCTCCTTCTTTCTCAAATTTCGAATTGAGTTTTTTGCACATTGCATTTTGATGGAAATTAAGAATAAAGTGTCGGGTATTGAAATGTGATTGTGTGACATGTATTATGGAAGACTAACCTTTTTTGGCATCAGGCTTCTGGACTAGAGGTATTTGAGTATCAGACTTTGGAATGTTTGGTTCCTCAGTATTACTTTATGTTTGCCTTCTGTAAAGATTTCGATTCTTGTCTCAAACTGGAATCACTTATGACATGAAGTTACCGGATAGTTATGTCATTTAATTATAATTCGTAAGAATAATTGTTTAATTTTCAATAAGCGTTTTTCCTTTTTCGTTTTTCTATGCTGTATTTGAACTAGTTTATTTTTTCCAGGACTACAGTGTGACGAGAATACGCATAAGAAGCAGTTAGTGTATGGAATATAACGGATGAGGGATCATCCTGCACTATACGAAGTATTGTCTTGGAAACTTCAGGAAGATTCAGATTCATCTGACGAAGTATTCAAAGAGGGAAAAAAGCGGAAAAGTCACGACTGAACGGAAAAAAAGAATTAAAACAGTAAACCAAATCAGTCGTTATCGTATAGAATTCTTATCATTTATACGTAGCACTATCCAAGAAATCCTGATTTGTTGGCGACCAACGAACCAATCAACAGCTGCACGCGCCGTATTGCCAATTCTTCCATGGAATGGTTATCAGCGCCCAAGTGCTTAGTGTTAACGTTGGCGGAAGCAGCAACAACAGTAATAGCGGTAATAATAAAGAAACGAAATCCAGCATTAGCGTTAAGAACAGTTCACCAGAGACGGCAAAAATTACAACTGGTGACGAAATCGAAAATCAGGAAGATCAGCAAAAAAATCAAGAGTGTAGCATCAATCCACTGGTTGCGAAAACCCCATCTGCAGTCTGGTTTAAGCATCATCAACTGCAGCATCCTAAGTGGTTATTGAATTGTTGCACGTCAAATCTTACCACAGCTGCGCAACAATTAACTGTACTGATTGACAGTATTGGTAGCTGTATTCCAGATCTTGTCGCAACATCAGCGACTAATATCGCTGTAATTGCTACTGCTACTGATAGCAGGCATACGACTACAGCAACAACCACAACGGTTTCCACAACAGCTCCTGATACTACGACAGAGCAGGATATGAGCCGAGAGAGTCGTCATGTCCATGTAATTGGCCTACCGGATAGTCTTTCGGATGAACGAGTCTCATCATTTTTTTCCACGTAAATAAATTTTTCTGTTCGTTCTTTCGTTTTTCTTCTGCAGGTTACTTTATATTCCTAGTTAATAAAATGTGAAGTCAGTGAGCTGCATGATAGCGATGGTGGTTTTATGAAGGGAAGGTAAGCGGAATGCATATAGTGCTGCATGAAGAAAACTGAGTAATGTCTTGACGCGATTTTATGCTGAAATGTCGCACTCACAATTCAAACTTAGGTTTCATATTAGTTGGGGTATTATCTGGATAAGTGGGCTTAGAAGAATGGCTATCAGAGTTATTTTAAATATGTAACATTTACGATCTGTTGACCCTGGTAGTGTTATCATTGTTGTAAATTAGACTTGTAGTGTAAGCCTATTCGATACGGTTATGACGCATGGAATGTTTTTAATCAGCTAATTATGATTGCAACGTTTAAGATTGTTGGAAGGGTTCTCGGCATAACCCTTATTAACTAGAAGGAAGTAATTCCGAACATTTATTTCTGCAATTCTTTTAACACGTCACCTTAGCTAGCGAGGTGAGAAAATTGATTCTCGACGTAAATAAATGTAGCATTGTATTATAACGACTTTTTAATCAAATGTGGCTTAAAAACTTCGACGTTCAATTTGTGACATAATAAATGTGATTGCCAGGACTAATCAGCCATATTTCAATTTTGGATGAACGTGCTTGAAGGAAAAATATTGAGCGGCACGTTATCAGTCGTCGAATCTTGGTAGTGGTGTCTGATGCCGAATCACTTTATATTGCTTTTCTGGATGGTACTGTGCAAAACGTAAAAGGGAGGAGAAAAGTGCTTGTTGACGGTAGTAAGCTGCTAAAGATAGTATGGGAGATATATTTTTGTGCATTTTGCAAATTTATGCAAAAAAATGAAGTAAATCACCATTGTGCCTCAATGGGAGTAGTGTTTGCTTTTGTTGATTTATGAATGCTCTCTAACGGACTCTTTAAATTTAAGTAAACTTCCGCTCGACTCTTTAGTGATCGATTTCCTTTGGCATTAGGTACTTACTTAACACGTGCTGTCATAAACATTTAGGAAATTGTAGTTGTATGGGAGGAGGATGATGATGTTGAAACATGCATGCACGTATTACTGGATTATATAATCTGCATGCATTGCATAGTATGCGACCGTGGTGCGCATAGTATAATGCACCATGGTGAGTTGTAACTTTCGGGCTAATGTACGACGTCCATCCATCATTTCTTGATTTGATAGTCATTTATGTGGTGTTGGTAGTCTCCGAGGACCAAAGATCGGGATCCTTAATTTTTGCTGTCACAAAGAGGGAAGAGTACGATGTATGCTTCTTTCCCCTATCTACCTTGTGACGCCTACTTCTTCTATATACCCCTTCATTCCGTTGAACTTTCTTAGGTAGGTAGGTTACAATGAAAATTGTATGGATTGGGTGGTAATTTGGTATCAGCCGTGAATTTTTGGTAATCGTAATGCAATTCATCCACTTTATTTGTATCGGCGTAAGACTTCGCATTCTAGTAGGAGGTGATACTGCTTTAGGTTTGCCTGGATACTTTTGAGAGCATGATGATTGTTATGTAATGATGCCGCAAAGAAGTTGAGTAGTAGTGTTAGTTCATTTGCGGTACTATGTCGATGACAGTAGTAGCAGAACATTGTTTTTTTTTTCCGTAGCGACGTCGTTCAACAGTGCATGAAATAAGTGGACGTGGAGACAGGAAAGGCGTTATACCGGTTATAATTGCCGCAAATCTTTTGTTGTTGATTTGGTCATCCTTGTTACTTGTGTTTTAACGTCTATAATTTAGAAAAGAGGAAAATCAAATTGAACGTTTCGTGTCTTTCAGGACAGGTAGCGATAATAATTTCATTTTGATGACAGCTGTATGGTAGGGCATATTGATGGTTTGTATTTGATGGTAGCTTTTTTGTTGAATTGCGTAATGTAAAAATTCACAATATTATATTGAATATGATGAAAAGTAATCGCTCAAGTTCATAGTATGACTATGTCAATAATTCCGTTGTTGAATATTGTTGACACCGTCTCTCATAAAACATTACTGGTTAGGTATGCAACATGTTGGATGGTCATTCTTTTTTTGGGCAGGTAAAAAATGCTGTTTTATTCCAGATTTATGAACATGATTAATGATTTCTCGGAATAATTTACGAACTACGTAAATATTTTTCAGATTTGGTCGTGTGCAAAAAGTAGAACGTTTGGGCGTCACTGGTTTTGTAGTTAGTTTCATGGATGTTCGGTCGGCGCAAAAAGCCCATTCAACGGAGCCAAAATTCCAAGGTCACCAGCTACGAATCGCATTCCACGAACAGAACAAGAAGTGAGCAGAAAATTCCATACTTCGCAGATTGCATAAATATTGCTGTTACTGTTTAAAATCAGAATTGATTATAATTCCGCAACTGCTTACCTACTATCTACTTGACTGACTGTTGAGCTACTCGTCTAGCTTTCTTATGCTAGATTGCTTCTGCTTTGGTTCTTTTTCGTTCCCTACAATACTTTCTATTTCTACAGTTCAAGTGCCACTTTGTGGCTAAGTTTTCACATACATTTACCGCCTTCCTCTACATCCATGTTATCTATGATACGAAAGCAGTTCTTTGTTTACAGCCCATGATACGTCCGGTACATGGATTGTATCTTTGATGTGCTGCAACTACGTGGCACACATGCTGTTTTAGTTGGAATTAACAATTTATTTAATTCTGGCGGATTTTTATCCGCTTTATGGCCTGTTTCGGTTTCTGCCAAGATCTCCAGAATCTATCTCGAACTTCTCGTCATCATTTTGCTCAATTTTAATCTTACATGGACAAACGTAACGTCATTGCTGTTTCCACTGGTTTGTGAACTACCGCTATCCGCCTGCTTTGGTGGAGCTGAATATCAGAATCGAGTAGGTATTGTGTTATAACTGCTGAAGAATAGTCTGCTTCTTGACTTCTAGATCATTTTTTATGTTTATTCCTTTTTTCGCTTGCAGGCGTTATTCTTTTATCCTGGGCGGCTGTTTCATCTGTTTACCTGCTCACCGTATTGAGTTATTTATGTTCTCAATTATGTAAGGTAAAGATTTTGGATGTAGCCTAACTGGTCCTACACTGGTGACCTTTGTACATGTTAGTCTTGGAATTTCGTAGTGTCACATCATGCCTTTCTTTTTTTACCTCTATTATTGCGAATTTTTGATTACTTTGTAAATTGATTGGAAATGATGAGAAGCTTTCTTATATCTTTTTACGCTTTATTGTCAGAAATACAAAACTGATAACTGCTTGGAATCCGGAAATTATCGTTTTCTTATTTTCCAGTCGCTTTCATGCAGTTTGACCATTTTTCTCTATTGCGCTCATTAAAGTAAGAAAGGGAATAGAAATAATATGGAATCATTTCTGAGGTTTTTGTAGTTCGTAAGGTCGTAGAATAACACCTGGTTCTTCTTTTAAATTTCAAAAAATCTGATTATTCTAGCACATTTAAAATTTGGGGTAATATATATCGTCACAGATTTGATGTATGCCTTGTGCGATGCTGTGGGTGAGAGAGAAGTTCTTCATGCTTTACCGTGATAAGTTGTCTTGAAATGTATGCGGGGCTCCGAGGGAGGCACTTCCGATATTTTTGCGTTGAACAAGAGAATGTAGAGATTGCCGTGTGAAGATTAATTTTAATAAAGCAGTGCGCTTTGGATAGTTACATAGAATTTTCGGCATATTGAAAGTAGTATTTAAAGAATCAAGTAGTTTGATCGGTGAGGCATTGGTAAATTTGCCTGGATGTTTGGAAATCAGTTGCATTTTGAAATCATAGTTTCAAGTCCGTTTTCATTTCTTCCGCACATCTTTCTAATGATTTTGACTAGTTTCATTTGTGTGGTTCGTCTTTATAAGTTTCTCTGCTTTCTTCACCGAAATTTTCTATTAATCTTTTTGATTTCATTCCGTTTTGATTATACCAATGTCATTTTTGTCGAAAAACTCAATTGACCTAATTTCTCCTTTCGCCTCTATTTATTTTTTGTTGCGGAAATTCCTTCAAAGAAAAAACATCTTCGAAATTAGATCTCCATTAATTGTGATAAAAAATGAAAGAATAGAGGAAATTGAAGAAGGCGAAAGTTGAAAAAAGGTTATATAGTGGTGAAATTTCCTTTCCACTTTATTAGGACTTCCATATCTTGCAGTCTGTCGTTTAGTGATTGAGTAAGCTTTAACTGATGCCTTTGTCGAAATGATATAATCGATGAGTGGTCCGAAGTGTTTGCACTTTTCCTTGAGTTAATCGCATCGATTCATTCATTTTGCTGTTGCATGTCACTTTGTCAGTTTGACCGACTTATTTTCGTCATAGCTGTAAGATGGTATGCCAACTTTGTACTTTTTATGTTGTGCATTCAAATCATCACTATTATTCTACTGTCCCCTGAACACTAAGTTTTCGTCTTCGAGGGGCTTAACTCAATATATATAAAGTTTTAAATTTGTATGTTAGTTGATCTCAAATCGTTTTTCTTACAATATGAAATAACATGCTATTAGTTTCAGCGGCTTGGTGAACGCGACAACGTCGAGTAACGCATCTGGGCTTGGTTCACCTCAAAATATAAGAAATGCTAGCAGTGGCAGTGCGGCGACCGATTCGCATCGACGTTCATCCGATCTGCATTCGCCAAATTCATCCTCATCAAAGCAGATTCAGAAGGAGCGGTAAGTTATTTGTGCAGTGTTTTAGATCACTCCTGTAATTTGATAAAATGTTATCAGATTTTTATTACGGAAGCTGAACTGTTATTTTTCCTCGTTTTTGTAGAATGTCACAGCATCGAATTTCATCATCGCGGCGGCAGTCTCGAGAGCGAGAACGTGATAGGGAACGAGGAAATTCTAGTCGGACTGATGAACGATCTCAGCGAAGTAGGACTTCAGCTAATAACGATCGGTATGTTACTACCAGTTCGTGTAGTAGTACATCGACAGAAGAGCATGACATCTTGTGTTGTACGAAGTGGAAATGTGGATTAATTACCGGGCTTCGGAAAAGAAAGTATTATGAACTTTCGCAATGTATTTGTTTTTTCTTTTCGTGAACAAACATTCAATGAATTACAGGATTTTCACCTTTGATTTTAGACGAGTAGGTGTTAATGATCAACGTACTTCACGGCGTTCACGTCATTCGCCGCGCGCATCCGCATCATCCGATTCGAGCCGTGATTCAGCAAGTCCAAGGTATATGATTCTAAATAGTAGTGTATAAATAAGAAAGTTATGGAAAGGCGTAGACTGAATGTGAGATGCTGAGGAAAGAAATATTCGATTTTGAAGTTATGTAAATTGTTGAAGTTGTTTATCACTTGGGTATTGGCCAAAGTTTCGAAACCTGAATAATGAATGTTGTGTTATTTTGGAAAGGGCTCGAGTGTCTGCAGAATTTTGTACAACATCTATAGTGTAACACTGTTTGGAACGTTTTTTCAACATCTAGCTGGAATTTCTTGCCAGCATTAGAGTGCATTTAAGTTTTGTTTTTTCCCTTTTTTTTTCCTCTGTAAGCTTCATGAATTCAGTTGTTTATGTAATTTGTTTTAGTATTTGGAAAAGATGAGAGGAGGTGTTGTTATCGGGGAAGTTTTTACACCTTTATTTTCTCATTGAGAAATCATGAAGCGATGTTCTTTTATGTAGCCTTTAGGCTTCTCATTATATTATATATGTTCATAATAAAGAGCTCGTAGTCCCAATTCTGTATTGCCTTTCCATTTTCACATTTGGTTTCTTTTTTTCGTTTCAAAAACAATTGACAATGTAATCATTATATAGTAAGGCGGTTGGGAAACGTGTGGATGAAATAAAGGGGATAAAACAAGTAAAATATCTTAATTTAGCACTCAAGGGTTATTCGCGCTGCTATATTGTCAGACTAAGTGTGCGACCATGCATTTTGAAAGATATATTTTTTTATTCGATTAGAAAATAGAGTAGCGATTTCGAATAATTTTTGGTACTTTTTAGTGGGTCCTCTGGACACCATCATCATGCATCAAACACTCATACTGTGCAGTCGACGGTTATCAAGCTGGGAGCATCAGGTTCGCGACGCAACGATGCAAATGCATCCAACGAATTGTCCGCTTCAGGTGGTAGTCATGACAGCTTATCAAGCGTTTTTCCAGGCATTCAGGGTTTGTTGTATCATTACTTTGTTATTGTTACATAGTATATCAGGACATTCCATTTTTCGTTCTGTTTGGTGTAATAAATAATCCAAATGTGTATAATTTTTTAAGGCATTTATGTGTCCAATTTGCCATCTTCACGTACGGAAGGTTTTCTGAGAGATGGCTTGATGAATTTCTTCAAAAAATTTGGTAAAGTGATTCATATCATGTTTGAGACAGAATCTGGTCCAAATTTTGTAGAACAGCGGCGAGCACTTGTCGTTTTTCAGAGGTAATTTTTTAGGACTTATGTGTGATTATTAGAGAGCTTGATGTCTTGTTGAAAACTTTCGAATTGATTTCGCGGCTATTAAAATATTTTTGTGGGAGGGTGGGATCAGGTTGAAAAATTCTTTCGCGTGTTCATGTATGGGTCTTACATATTGTAATAAGTATTATAAAAGAAATTTATGCTTTCATCGGTTATTGTTATACCATTAAGTAACATGTTAAACATTATATAAGAGTTCCGCTATTTAGTCTATTATGCATAAAGCTCATTGTTATTTTCTTGTTTCTTTTATATAAACTAGTTCCATATGCAAAAAAATTTTCAACGGAGGTTTACTTCTCACGTTGCACGTAATTATACGAGTTCTATGCATTTACAGACTGGCAGATGCTGACAAACTCAAAGATATTCATCACTTATTTGGATTACGGTTGAAAATTAGATTTGCAAGTCACGCTGCCATCACAGAAGCTTATAGCACACATTTGGGGACAAATGGACAGGTAAATACATTCAAAAGCAAACCCAATTATTGCAACCGTTTCCAATACAGTATGTGACTGAACTCTTTTGCAGTATTAAAGATTTCCACAGTGACTTCTGAATTTACCGGATGAGGACTTTTAATCTCAGTCCTGTAATAAGGAATTTGGCTATTGGAAGAGAAATTTATTTTGCTCCTAAATCTCAGTGTTTTGCGGAAGGGACTTTTCTAAGGGAGTTTTGGATATTTAGGAAAATTAATAGATGATCATGTTTAAGCATTTATTAGCGTTATTATCTCTTTAATTCGAAAGTATCAAGTTTGTGTATAGTTACAGGAATGCTTGTCATCTCAAGATGCTTCTTCAACACCAAGTTCTTCAGCTGTCGATGCGCTGGCAAGTAGAGCTTCTCGAACTCTATATGTCGGCGGCTTAGAAAGACGGACAACCGATGATTCTCTTCGCTCCCGTTTTAGCTGTTTTGGACATATCCTGGAAACAGGTTATTTTTGTGTATTTTCAATATGAAATGGTACTGAAGTTTAATTCCGCTTGAACGTCAAGATTCTCGTTATTGGTATGATATGCAAATGTTTCTAATAAATATTAAGGAACGAAGAGCAATGTTTTTTAAAAATTTAATAAATCACTGGTTTAAACTTCTTGATAAGGATCATAATTTATCAATTTTTCAATTTTATCAGGTATTTGATGATAATATACTTCATTGGTTGTCTTTATCCACTTAATATGTGTACTGACAATAAAGATGTGAACTGATAGATTTGAATTTAGAAGTTAAGAACTGGGAAAGTCCATCACCGTTTGCTTTTATACAATTTGCGGATATACATTCGGTCGTCTGTGCAATTAATGCATATGCTCAGTCGACACATTCGTCCAGTGGCAAAAGTAAATTAAAGGTAATTATTGGTTTACTGTTAATAGATTACATATTATTATATTGTATTTTCCACGCCAAAATTCAAATTTTGATCAAGATTGAATAATTAGCACAATTGCAATAATTGGCACCGTAGTTTCCGTCCGAATATTGATGTTTGACCTTTTCCATCAATCTCGGTGATAAAAACTGCCAAAAATGTTTGTTGGATGTCAAGATTTACCAATGGCCTTTTTTCTTCAGATGAATTGGGGCCGTACAATTGTTAGTAATAAGATTTGGATTGGCGAGTTGCCGTCGAGCTGTTCGGCAGATTATTTGCGTGAAAAAATTCGAGTATCGTTCACAGATACGTTCAATGAAGTCATATATGATCCGCGCCATCGGGAAGCCCTCCTTTTATTCAGCACCAATGAGAGTGCCCAGAGAGCATTTTCGATGATTAAAACAAAACAGGTGTACGTATTTTGTTTTGAAAACCAAGCAGTATATGAGATAAATGGAATTTCACGTTATGTGGTATTAGACATGTACTGAAATATGAAAATGAACTTGAAATAATTTGCGAGAAAAAGAGAAGGTATTTCAGAGCTTTTTGGAATGCAGACGAAAAAAAGGATGTTCATGTGCCTGTGGATTATTGTTCAGAAAAACTGCATGATTATTTTGTTGACCGGAAATTCCGCGGTGAATCCGGAAATTCCCGTATGTTTTTTGAATGTATAGCCATTAATTTTACTAGGGAAGTCCAAAATGTTCCCAAAAAGAATTTTGGAAGGCATTTGAAATAAGAATTTTATAGTTGTGAATGGTAGTGGATCAAGTTCATATGCTGGCAACAGCACAACAACTTGTTCTAGTGGTGGACCTGCGATCGCATCTACATCTACTTCATCATTACTTGCACCGCCACCCGATCCACCAAGTCATCTTCGTGACACATCTTCGAGGTTTGATTCACTATTTAGTTTACAAATCTCTTATATTTTTAAGACTGATTATTAAGCAATTTGTCTTCTGAAGTTGTTTGAAGCAACTAACACATGACATGGCACATGGAAAATTGATGTTAAATCTTCATTCATTCTTGATAGTGTATGTTTTAATTGCGCTAGTATTTCACATTTTTTTAAAGGCTGGACTGTCGAAGATCGGGTTCAGATATGGTGTCACGGAGACGAAGAAGTGATGAACGAGAGAGCTGTAGAAATTCGTCTCGTTCTTTACGATATTCGTCTTATAATAGGTTGAAGTTTTTAAAATCTTAGTTTTCTAAGCGCATATTTTGATAAATAATTTGTGGTGACAAATTATGTCCTAGTAAATATTGATTTTTCTGTTGTAGATCTCGACGACGACGTGAAAGAGCTAGAAGGAATGATGTATCTCCTTCGTCGTCATCAACCTCCTCAACATCCAGTGATTCTGACTTAAGTAGCTCGAGTATGCCAGATAGAAAACGTACAAGCGCTGGTCATTCAAAGAGTATTCAACGTTTGCACAGGGATAAGGTGAAGCAATTTAAAGTTCGATATAGATATTGATAAATCAGCTATGATTGGGTACAACCTGGATGTTGGTATATAAGCATTATCGTTTCTCGGCATTAAGTTTATGACGATTTTGAATTATTACTTCATTGCTTGTTTTTATTCAACTACGTACTCATTTATTCTCGATAATATTTCAGACTTCCGTATGTCCTTCCAGTTCACGACAGCCCAACTCTCCATCGAGTAGCAAGCCTGACCGGAATTTCGAACAGTCTAACAGTACAACCGGCATCACGTTGCAGACTGTTGCAAGTCGTAGCGCCTCAAGATCAAATCTAGCACAGTTGCTCCCACCTCCCATGCCATCGGCACCAATTCTGAATCCCCTTATGATAATGTCAGGCGAAAAGAAGCAGCAACAAGAACATCATCAATCAACGGAAGCAGGTACGAATGAACGTGAACCAGTTGTAAGGCACATTGATTTTAAGCGTCAACAATCTATGCCATCGTCAAGTTTGTCAGTTGATAGTGAATTGCATGAAGCAAACGGAAAATCGATGACAGAACAGCGAAGCGGGAAAGCGGAGCAGCAACAACAGATGTAAGCCATTTCATTAGATCACCGCTGTCTCAACACTGTAATGAGAAAGAGTGAAGAATGCTTATGTTTTTCATATATCTTTCAAGAAAATTCTTTGCTAGATTGAAAGAATAGACCATGCATTATGTAGCATTTATGGTTAATCACATATAAGTTTTAATGACATACAGGATTAAAAGTACAACCTGGTATGTATATAGAAACATATACCAGGTTGTACTTTTACTTGCATCAAATCACGTAATATTCTAAGAGATAGCAATTCTTAGTTTTGTGAAACTTTTCTCAATGACTTCCATTGTATTTTAGTGTCTGAAACTTATTGAGCTTTCAGTGATACCAAACGATTAGAAAACAAAGGATTACACGACAATGAATCTTATAATCCCGTGGTACAAGAAAATTTTACTGCAAACGAAATAAGTGCAATAACGGTATGAGATTTGTATATTTTTGAATTTCAATTTAATAAAATGTATTTTTAACGAAATGTAGGCGTTTAACATAATAATATGAGGGGGCCAAAATCTGAAGAAAATCATAGAATTATTTCATTAAACCTTTCCACGTGTGATCTGCATTCGTTCATGGTGTTTCAGTGTTACATTTGTATTCCGAAGGCGAGTTCTTTGAAATATTTGAATCATTATGATATGAAATATCATATAATTCCAGTCAAATCGAATTGAAGAAATTGCTAATACTTTGGTAAACGTGCTGCAGCATCATTCCAAAGCATCTACGTCGACAGCTTCGAGTGCCCAATTAGCTATTACGAGTGGGACCCATCAGACCCAAACATCGACTTGTTCAACCCAACGATCTACTGACGATGCCTGTGACAATGGCAAACATCATTCCAATAGACCGTCTGCCTCTTCCGGTAAACGCACCAAATGGCCATGGGGTGTGTTACATTTATTTTAGTGCATAGTGGTTCCTAATAAATTTAATGTTGTAATAGAAAATACAGAATTGCACATCTCTAATGGTCGTTTACCAGGGTTATTATAATTGAAGATCGAAATAGAAATATCTGAAGCTTTAGATAGATCAAATTAAATCGAAAAGTCAGCCAAACATATGGTGACTTTACGGTTTCTCATTTTCCGATGGATTAAAAGGATGAATTGCAGATGATATGATAAATTAAGGAATCACTTTATTTGAAGGAGAGAAGTACTTTGTTGAGCTAAAAGTATTCGGCATTTTGTGCTCGAATATGTCGCTTTTAATTCTAGGAAATGATCCGATCAAAAATCATTGTGCGATTCCTTTGGATGGAAGCGCTAATAGAGGTAAAGACCCGCGACACCGAAAACATTCGCCGCAAACTTCCGTATCATTACCGTTGCCGAAATTTGGGCATGAACGTCGTTCTACGCCAAGTAGCTCACGTCGAAATAGCATGCCAGATCCATTCCGTTCCCCGCTGCAGCAGAAACATGAATCAAGATGCCCAAGGAATTCTTTACCAGCTTCAAGTTCCGGTCTTGCTGGTTAGTTGTATATATCGTTTTTATTTTTCTGTTATGAAGTTAGATATTGTGGAATGTAGTAATCTTTTTTTTGAAATATTAATGTAAATGGTAAGTCAGGATGTTGGCTGGAATCAGGTAGTTCGAGCAACTGAAGATAATTTAAGCGATGAATAGTTTGAGAAGGTTGTGTGTTGGGTTTCGTGTAGTAGGTGCTTTTGCTGTATGAAATCATGTCATTATGACGAAAACGGAACTACGCTGGTTGTGACATCAAGAGATATTAAGAGCATTGTACAGTGTTTATAATCTACAAGCGTTCGTGTTTCATGATCAGTAAATTCATTTGATGCTATTACAGGATGCAGTTTGAAATGGAGCGCTGCGGAATGTTCACCTCCGCAGAAAGTGACTAAACGGCAGACACATTCGTCAATATCAAGATCGGAATCAAGTAACAGTGAGGTGATGCTTTCTCCTGATCCTTCGAATTCAGCTACGCAGCCTACACTAGTGACAAGTACCATAGATATTTTCGGGGACACATCACCTGCCAACAACTCGAGTGCTTATCGTGAACGACTTGATGCACTGGGAGCTACTTTTCAAAATATCGAGCAGAAGTTTCAGGTCAATTTTATCAAGTTTGTGTGTCGTTAAAATACTTAATAGATCAGGAAGGTAGAGTTTAAGCAGATTTTTTGGCAGAAGTTTCGTGTCATACTTAACTACTCATGGCGTTGATTTTTCGGTAAAGTTTGACGTATCGTGAATTTTTCCAAGCCTCGTTTTCCATGATGGCTTTTTCTTGTAAGTAACATGTTTAGCACCAAAAAGTTGTTCGTGAATTTTCTAAAGGACAAATCCTACATTTCTAGGTGCATATAACTCCCACAGATCATAGAATCATAATCACTATTTGTTTTGTTTTTTTTTTTAAGCAATTGTGATCTTTTTAGAAAACAAAACAGAATACCCACTTGGATTATGATCGTAAAGGTTCATCACAACGCAGTTATAAGTTCGAGGAAGAGCTAGAAAGACTAAAAGCACGAACTGGATCATCCAGTTCGACGGTAACGACCTCGCAGACAATAACAACTTGTTCTCATTCGACATCTAACACATTTACCGACTCATACACTAAAACGCGAAGTAATGGTAGTGGTGCTACATCGATTTTCGATTCAAAAGATACAGAAGCTCAAAAGCCGATTCGTACTTCACTTTCTGTTTCTATTCCAATGCCACCTGTTTCTGTAACTTCCACTACTTCAAATCCCTATATAGCAGTTGTTTATACTACATCCACCAGTTTGTCAAATCTTCCGTCACCACAATTTTCTGGCGTTCAACTCAGGAAACATCTCCTACCATCGAACATTACACAGAGCGGTAATCAGACACCTTCATCGGCAGCTGCATCTCGTATTGCTTATCCTCCAGATTTCAGTGTTCCACCTCCACCACTTCCACAACCTCCAGTACCTCCGACATTGTCTTTGACGGCATACAAATCTACAACAGCTGGCACTTCACTGATCTCAGCTCCACCTCCACCACCTCCACTAGTCTGTATTTATTGATCTTATTGTTTTTAAAACAAAGTTTTCTAATCAACTCAATAAAAAAATCGTACGAAAACTTGTCGTAGGGGGACTACAAAAAGTTCCGCCAGAAAGCTACGCCAGTTTTCAATGGAGATATGTTTCTTTTTCACTGTGATTCTATCTCTGATATCATTCTTTCGCATCATTTTTTGAACATTATCATGCATTTTTTTTCTATATAATTATCGTAGAAATTGATGCTAAACAGCGGTATAATTCCATCACGGAGGACATTGTATATGACATTGAATGATCAAACGTTATGATACTATAGATAAGAAATTTATAAGAAAAATTTTTTGTACATGAATGGACTTTGATATTTTTTAATTTTAGATGTGTAATAGCACTTCCCATTCATTTGATCCAACATCATGCTTCAACACGTCGCTTCAGCCACTTGTACGTAGCGTTGGTCCCCAGAGCGGTATGCAGTCTTCATCTTGGAGGACTACAACAAAACCATCTACTCCGCCACCACCGGCGACACATTCCACTGTTAGTTCGAAGCATACCTCGGTCTCTTCTGCGTCTAGCACGTCAAAATCGTCAACGTCAGATTCAGTTCCCAGTAGTGCTGCATTAGAGATGGATAAAACGCGATCAAGAACTCAGGGAACTGACAAGGTTTATTTGTTATTCTAACTGGGATAATTCTCCTTTGGTGTAAGAAAGAATTACTTTAATTTTTTTTTTCAATTTGAGATACAAGTGAGGGAGAAAGAGCATGTGAAGATGATTTCGAAGTTATACTTCTCTGAAAAGAAAGCATCAAAGGATTCTGCGAGCAAGCAACCTTCATTAAGTGAATTATTCCGTCAGCAGGTAGATTTTTTCAGACGCTAAATTTTGTAAATGGTTGAAAGATCTACAGTGCTGTCTTGAAATCACTGAATTTTCTAATTTTATGAATAAAATATACCATGTTGATCAATTTTTTCTTCATTAAAGCAGCAGAAACATTCTATAACGCCCTTTTATGTATCTTTATTTACTGCAGGCGCAAGATTCATCAGAAGTTCTTAAAAAACAGCTGGAGAAAGTCAGGAAAGAGAAAGGTGATGAAACATTGCATCATAAATCGAATGATGAAAATAAAAAAGGAGTGACTGGAAGCTCGAAAGAAAGACATTTCAGAGAAGATGAGAAAAAGGTTTTTTTTTTTGACCTTCATTCAAACGGTGCAGCTGTTCTTCAAATTTGGTTTAAAAGGCAGCTGTGTCATAGAAACGTCGGAATATGTCCTGATTTGGATTTTCTTAATCAAGACCATAACTAAGTTTATGGTGTATATACACCAATGGTATATCTTATAACGAGCTAAGAGGATTGTTACTTTTGGAAAAAGATAATATAAGTTAGAGGCAAAAGTATACCTCATAAATTGCAGTGAGTTGTGATGTTAATATTTTCTTATAACGACAAGTATGACATTGATTAGATGAGTTATCACGGAAGATGTAAGACATATCCGGTTTAAGTAAATTATGCTATTCGTAGTTGTCGGGCAAATCGGATCAAAATGTAGCTGAAAAAGAGAAAGATAAAAAGCATACTGATGGGAGAAGCCAATCACAGAAAGTGAAGCCGAAAACCGTTACTCAAAAGCAATTAAAAGAAAAAAAGGAAAAAAAAGAAGCGGTATGTCATTTTCGGCTTCTAATCATATTATTACATTTAAAAACCTAGACTAGTTTCCATTGTTTCCGCTTTTGCATTCGTCAAAAGAATTTTCGAATAAAATCCAACATTAAGATTTGGTTCCAGAAGGAAAAGGACAAGGAATACGAAGAAGGCGGACAGCTTACCTTTGAAAAGGGAAAAGCACAACGGTCAGTGGAAAAAAACATCAAGAATAAATTAATGAAGGATGGCGTTGGTATTAAACAGAAAGAAAAGCTTAAGGAAAAGGAGCAGCTGCAGAAAGATCGTGCAAAAAAGAGGGTATTTTTTTGAAGATATTTTTGTGAAATGCTGAATTATTTGCGTGCAGATAGTATGAAACTTCCCATGAGGAAGCGAGTACAGGGTCAGTGCCATATATTACTGTCATTCAATTCATTCATGACTGTCATTGGTTGTGCAAAAAGTTTTTCTCTAAGGTAATTTTTTTGTTGTAGCAGGAGGAAGAAAGACGTAAACAGAAGGAAAAAGAAGAGCAGAGAAAAAAGAAGGAACTGAGTAGGAAGAAAAAAAAGCGAAAAAAGGAGTCGAGCTCGAGTTCGAGTGAAGAAACATCATCATCTGAAGTAGAACTCCATGTAAGTAACAATAATTTATGGTTTGTCAAAAACTTATCGATAAACCTTGTAAAGTTGAAAAAGGCTTACATTTTAGATAATTTGAATCCACAGATGGTTGCCAAACAATTCTGACTTCCCATGGAAATTTCACTATAAATCACTATTTTTGTAGTCATTTGATCGGGAATTGAAACGATTGTTCATGGAGGAAGAAGCCTCTGGATCGCTAGGTTTATCGATGTACGATCGGGTCAAGCAGCGATCGTCTTCGAAACCAGATGATGCAGCCAGGAAGAATCGAGCACTGGAGTTGTTACAGGAAAGGACACAAAGTCGTCGAAATAACGAACAGGTATCATTACGAAATTGAACTTCGAATCTTAAAGTTCAATTTGCCTCTTATGAATTTAAGAATTTTTGATTTTCTTTGATGTTATGATTGATATTTGTTTATTTTGATGTTTTTAGAATCGGCCAAAGAGGGTGCGGTTAGAGAGTTCATCATCTGCCGAGGAGAAAGATTCGTCAAGCGATGGTGAGAAATCCGATGATTCGTCAGCTGCTTCAACAGATGCTTCCAGAGCCCGTAACAAGAAAAAGAAAACGGAATCGAAAGGCAAATCGACAAAAAAGGAGAAGTCATTTCTGCAAAAAAAGTTGCTTGCTGACGACGAAACCGAGGATAATGATGATGACGATGATTGTGATGATGATGATGACGATGATAATAATGGAGTATAGTGCTTTTGTTATTGGGGGAAAATCGTTAGGAGGATATTTGTAGTATGTTATTGGGGGAAATCGTTAGGAGGATATTTGTAGTACCTCAGAATTTGACTGGTACTGTGACGCTGGATCGTATATGATCCAATATTACAGCACCGATCAAGAACTACTATATTGGGTGGGGACAATCACGCCATCGGATGATTTGGTGAATTGATAAGTGGTCTCCGCTCACATTTCCCTTAATATTGTTGGAGTACTGAAGTTTCTTCAATTATTTTTTATGCATTTGCGTTTGTAGATTCGAAAGGATTCTAAAAAATCTGAATCGGAGGAAGAACGCTCGAAACGAAGACGTAGTCGAAAGGCAGCAGCATCAAAATCTTATAAAAAACAGGTATATTGTATTCATGTGTTTTTGGTAATCATTGTTCATTAATATCAGCTAACAGTATTTTTTGAGTGGTTAGAATACTTCTGGGTTATTTATATATTTAAATTTTTTTGTATGTATGTTAGATTCGTTGGCACCTGAATCTTGATCGTCTTTTTAAAGGACTTGGAAGATAAAAACTTTCTGTGTTAATATGATGATTTTCCAGAAAAAGACTTCGTCCTTATCATTGGACGACGTATTTGGAATTTATTCTACGGATGATGAATCCACGAAACATTCGAGAGGTTCCATTGTTCCATCGTTATACAAGGAAAAGGATGGAAAAGAGGACGGTGGTAAAAAAGCTACCACAAAGACTGATGAAAGTCAAAAATCAAAAACTGAGAAAGAGAAGATAGAGACTGCTAGACGTTTAAGTTTAAAAAAGCGCAAAAAGGAAAAGCTGGAAGAAAGCGATGAAGGCGAAAATGGTGGAGAAAGAAAGAAGGTATTTTCATGTATATGTGTCATGTTTTGATTTGGTTTTAGATTTTTTTCTTCAAATATTTTTAATGTGTTTTAAGGTGATGCCATATCATGACATCGTTATCCTATTAATAATGTTAGATATTGTTAGTTGAAGATATATATATTTTATGCATGCGTTTCGGCCCAGAAAATCATTTTCAAACTTGTAGGAGCATTGCACATCTAATTTAGAACTATCAGAAAGATGATTCTACATAGGTGGTAGAACAGGACATATACGATTAAAGATGGTGAGACTGAAGTGCATGAGATCATAGCAATAACTTCATTATGTAAAAAGCCTTAAACTTAAGAGTTTTGTTCTAGGTTATCCTACGGAAGGTGGAGAGCAAACAGGTCTTCGAGAAATCGGTCGAAAAGAAGGTTACTGGTAAAAAACGAATAAGCAAAAGTAATGATGTGGATGAAGCTACTGCCGTAACTACTGTAGGAGTTCCAGAAAAGAAACAGAGAACGGTATTTGTTTTCTGCTGTAATTTAGGGACAAGAGTAAAGGTGGAATTGTTTGATATTGTCTGCAATGCCAACGCAGTGATGAAGTTATTGAATTTTATTTCCCGATGATGTAAGGGGTTTTATTGGTTTAGAATATTTTTTGATTTGTGTACAACTTTTTTGATCTGATCTACTGCGCTCTAGAAAATACCACTAAGGTGGACTTAGGTTTTATCATTTCAGGAGAAATCTTTGATTGAAATTTCAATGTTCCGAGAGGATGATAAGAATGTTGCTAAAGCGAAGACATCCACCACGCCCGAACAGAAGAAAAAAAGCCGAAAATCTGGAAACAATGGACAATTTGAAAAGAAGCTAGCGAAAAAATTAGAAAGAGAGCAGAAAGTAGGTCCAAATTTTTCATTAAAACTTAATGATTGTGCTTTGTTAAGTTAATGTTACAGTAAAGTGAAAAGCACTATTTCTTGCCTTGTTGAAATTCGTCTTTTTATTATTAAACTCATTAAAATAGTTCATTATGCTCATAGATAAGGGGAAAAGAGGATTCTTCGGGTCAACTGTATTAATTCTATTTTATTGTTTTGGTTTGTAAAATTCGTTCGCATAAGCAGCGAAAAATTCTTTCGCATATGTCAATTGGAAGCTAAAAGAACCCTAAAAAGTATGTGCTTTGTTTAGTGGTATGTGATTGTTTCATAATTTCAGGAGCGATATGAAGAACAGAAACGAGAGATAGCTGAGGCAAAAGAAAAAGGTGAGAAATTACAAGATGGGGGTCAGCGGCAAAAAACGGATAAAGTTGGGAGACATAGTGATGGTGACGGAATGTCTGATGTTCCTAGTCTAAATGATCCAAGTCCAGATACAGCCATTCAAAACCATCAATCATTTAGCGGAAAAAGTGTTCGGAAAAGGCATCTTAGAGTTGAAAGTGAGTATTTCTGGTGCAAATTAAAAATTTTTTGTGTCTTAATCTTTTGATTATATCATCTTTTATCTTGAATTTAGATTCTGAAAAGGTGAAAATGAGCAGGAAGGAACCGAAATCACCGACAGCAGATGTATGTCAAACGGATTCTGATTCTTGTGAAGATTTGAAAATAAAAGATGTAGTAATGAAGCAGGAGTCATTGAGTCAGGTTTGTCTTTGCAAGTTTTTTGTCTTAAGTTTTCTTTGGAGGAAACGACTGGTAAATTTCGAGATGTTTTAGACATTATTGCCTACAGAAATAAAAATGGCAAAGGAGTTCACTGCTGCAACTGGAAGTTTTGCAAATCGAAGCAATAATTTTTCATGAATTTGGTTAAATAATTTATATTTAAAATGGGTTTTTGTTTCAGTCTCTCGAAAAAATAGATGTGAATAATATGAGAAACAATACATCCGGACGAGAAAGCAAAAGTAATTCACCGTCTGATCATATGAATAGAGGCCGTGATCTCCCGCAGTCAATGAAAATGGCAGTGGCACCTATACCTACCAAGACAGAAATAGAACACACTGTGTGTAATACTCCAGTTAATAATTATTTTGGTCTCAGAAATCATTTTTTTTTCATTTCCGATTACGATGTTTATCCTTAAAACAGGGAAAAGAAAGCGGGATGAAGCATATTGTTTGTCCTTTGTCAGATGGAATTTTCGATTTTCAGGAAATGGATTGTGTTTCGGAAGAATGTGCAACGAATACAGCTTTACATACCGCATCGAATGAATACCGTACGCCTCGGAATCTGTTACGTGATGAGTCAGAGCAGTCCAGAAAGTATGACTCAGTAGAACAGAAGCTGGAAACCGATGGATCTTCAGTGGCGGCAGACAATTTTACTGTACCCAGACATCTCGTAAGTTCTTCCTTTAATAGTTTCTATTCTGCTTAAGCTCTCTTGGCTTCATTATTTGCAATTGCTGCTTTGTTATTAAATTTTCTTTTAAATACATAAGAGTTATGGCTTCATTTTTTGTAGCAGAAGGTGAGGACATGCACCAGCATGGTGAAATGGTTAATGTCGTAAGGTTCTTGGAGGTGTTGATGCTCACAGTTTAGTTAGTCTTGGTGATATTTTGCGATTTATCTCGACCGAAAGATAATGAAATCTTTATATGCAAAGGAAACCACAAAATCACGATTACGAAAATTGAAGCATTCCTTCTCTTCATATTTTTCTGAATTTCTATTCTTCACAACAGTATTTTACGTTAGACCTTGATTTCTCCTCCCTAAGGAAATTTACTTCATTTATCGTAAAATATGCATGCATTTAATATGTTGCACCAATCGTCGAACACTACAGGAATTTTTTTAAATTATAGGTAGTTCAATGTAGCGTTTTTCCAAGTTTGGACAGGTTTTGGATAAAGACCTGTGGTGGATAAAAAGCCGTACACTTGGCTGAAGTTTAATGTACTATCGAAATTCTAACGTTCTACAGGGAAGAGTGCAAAAAGAAATTTTTTTTAGAAAAGAATTTTTTGAAAGAATGAACTTATATATTGACCTAATTTATGTTCAGCTTTATCATTTATAATAACATCAGACCCCTAAAGTAGCTACACACATGTATTGGATTTATCACTAAAATGTTGAGAAAAAAGCTTTTCAGAAGTGACTGTTATAATAATGGTGGATAGAAGGGTAGTTTTCTACAATCTGACGAAGAATGAGATTTTTGAGCGGATAAACTTAATGAACTTTATCATGATTAGAGTAATATATCTGGCAAGGAAATAGAGCCAAATTATACTTTCATGTTTCCTTTTTGTCGATGGATTTATTTAACAGAAGCTAAACATTTCGTTCTCTGAAGCCTTTTGCATGCATGCACGAAGCTAATTACATTGAGAGTTAATTAACATGCTGCACTGCCTATGGGTACGGGTGTTCTGGACAATTGTTCCCGAAAATTCGAAACATTTTATGACATTATTCTCAGCTCATTTTCTTAATTCTTATGCTATTCCGTACTCATATGCATGAATCAGATAACAATGACTACATCACTTTAAGCTCTGTGGTATGCATTATGCTTTAAAACATTGAAGGTTTTTTTTGTCGTGTCTGGCGGATACAGCACTTTACCTGAATGATGAACAATAACACTATGGATAAAGAAGTTGCCATGTATTGTTTTAGTGTGATTTTTTATTTTAGAGACTTTTCAAAAGTAGATTTTATTTTTCAAAAAATCCAAAATTTGACTGCATTGGTTCAAAACGCAAATACTTAGTTTGAATTGTACAATAATTTGATGTATGAAACATAATAGAGACTTGGGAAACACATTTATGTTATAGCCGGAAGACGCGCATCTTGATCAAAATCGATCAAACCAACGACAACAGCAGGAGCTCTGCATATCCGAAGATGATGAAGGTGGAGGAGAAATTGTTGATCGAAATGTCATTATTGCTCGTAAAAACTCAGTATCCTCAACGAATAGCAGTGAAAGTGGCCAAACAAGTTTGTTATCAACATCATCGGCAAATCTGGAAACTCAACTGGAAGACGGTCCTGAGGAACATGAGCAACAGCAAATTTTAGGGTCAGAAAAGATCAAAATTTCGGGATCTATTGAAGTATTGAAGTCTGGTGGTAATTGTGGCACGGAACAAGAATTCGTCGAGAAGACCGAAAATGAAAAGCTATCTCCCAATGATATGGTGGTACAGCTATCAACCAGCGAAGGAATCATTTCTGTACCAAATTCGGATGCCGAATGTTCTGATACAATTATTCATGGTGTGGATATGGTAAGTAATGCACTAACAAAGCAACAGCAGCAACCACAAAATGCTGAAGGATCGAGAACGAGTATTTTGGATAGTGTGAATGATGCTGAATCCAACGGGAGTTTTGAGTTGATTGATGAAGGGCGAGTTGGTGATGTCGATTCGTTGCCAGATCAGGATATTGATAGTGATATTGGTGGTGTCAGGCAGCAACAGTGCCGAGAATCCACCTACGATGTCGACCATATTCGGGAAGAAACGATAATGGAGGCAGAAGAGGAGCATGCGGATGATCCTGAATGTGTCGCTACCGTGCGAGTGCAAGATGATGTTCACGATGTGCAGGTCTGTGCATGTAAAAAAATTATTGCAAAAATTTGTCTTATACGTATGTAAATTTATGCACTAAGCAAGCATTTGCACTTTGTTGTCGGCATAATACAGTTCAGGTTAACCACACAGCACGTTGGTAGAGGTAATGCATTTTGTTAGTTTCGGCACAGTTTTATAGGTTGTTCGCAGAACACGTTCTAAGAAAGATTCTCCTTACTAATCATTTTAGATTAAGAAATAGTGTGAATAAACTTTCAAAAAAACTTGGCATGAATCTTTATAACTCGCAGAAAGTTGAGTTGGTTCACAGTTTCGCACGATTAATTCTAATTAAGCGTTAACTTCTGCCACATTGTTTGTACTGGGCACCCTAGATGAAAGCATACACAAGAATTTTGATATCTTGACTCCATGAAATTCCAAAAGGTAGTTAACGTCATTGCCATGCTATCTAAAAGACCTTGTCGGAATGTTGATTTATACGGTATAACGTTAGAGTTTTGTTACTGCTATGTTGTTGAGGCCAATTATAATCAGATTAGGATGAAGTTCTTAAAACTACATATGCAGCTTTTGTTGACAGATGATGAGCTTATGTATTTTATACTTTAGTATAGTGGGACGAGATACTTGAATTAAATTTGATGTAAAATAGCCTAAATTTAAATTCAAAAACAAAAACTGCGGTCGAAATAAAAAAATATTTGTTCCATTTGCAGGAAACTGAATTTGCTGTCCAGTCGATTGTTTTAGACGATAATCGAAGTCAGCATAGCGGTGAAGATGGTAGCGGCGCTGTGGATTATTTGAGTGAAGGCGCTGGTGATACAAGTTCGAGACGCGACAGCCTCAGCGATACAGCAACAATGGCCACTATACATTTATGTGTGAATAAGCAGCAAGACAATTCACAAGATAATGTAGAAGCAGATAATGATGACAGTATTACATCAAAATCAGGAGCTGGTGTTGAGCATCAGGTAACATATGAATTGAAACAGTAACAAGCACGAATACAAGACAGAACTTTAGTTTTTACATTTTGGAATTGATCCCACGCAGGATAGATTGATTATTTATACTTTGACTTAGAGAAAATGGACGTGCTTTGTAACTTACATGATAAAATATTAAAAAATGGGATGGGGCATAACGTCATTTTTCATTTTGCATCCTGTAAATGTTGCATCTTTCATAAGATGTGTAAGAATGTTTCATTCTGGAGGAAATATTGTATCTGACGAATTACTGCAGGAAATGGAGTCGGAAGATAGTGACGATAGTAAAAGTAAAATGGACATAGATGATAAACGAAGTGATTCACATCTTGACGAGGTATCTTTTTTTAATATAATTCAGCACTTTAACTGCTCATGCACTCACTCATTCATAGATTATTTGCATATATTATTATTCCTGTGGCTGTCATATTGCACTTCTTTCTTTTAATTTTCCTTCACAACTTTCCGCCGGCTACTGCGTAACTTATTTTTTTCATTTTCGCTTCAAGATAGGTTTTATTTAATGCTTAACGCTTATTTTTATTTCATTTCCCATTGCATATTAGAAGTAGTAGTGGTAGTATAATTCTCCTAGTAATAATGTTAGGTTACAGTGCTGCTGGTGGATGCAACCCAAATATTACATAGAGTCTTCTGCTCAAATTCTTTTTTTTTTTTGATATTAGCTCCTTGATTTGGTAATGCTATTAGGTACTGGATTGATATTTTTTATATGGGTTGTGATATAACCTGCTATGTTTATAAAGCTTCTAGCTTTCTCTTTAGACGGACATTGCAGTGAACGTTTTTTTTTGATAAGGTGAATGGAAATGCTAGAGCATGAGTTTGGTGTTCAGTCTAGATAAAGGCTTTTTAAAATCTACTGTATGGGAAATATAGCTTGTTTCAGTTTGTTTTTTGAAATAGAATTCTGACTAGGATTAATAGAATACGATACATGCGATACTACGATACATCAGGGTTGCATCTACAAATGTGTCCAGACAGCACTGTGGAAATTTTTTGCACCAATTTTTGTAGGTAATTGATGACGTAGTGGCCGGTGGGTATATGGAAGTAGATGCTGAACAACTAATGCGTATAAACTCAAAGAAAGCAAAAGAAGAAGCAGTTTTACGAGCTGCGGCTGCGTCTACGCAAGGAAACATCATTCCCAAAGTTACACCATCGATAAATTTCGCAAGAGATGCTGAAGCATCACATTATGATTATCAAAATGCCACACAAGGACCGCCGAATATCCAGCAGCAACAATATGGAAACAGTGGTTATCATATGCAACAATCACAACAACACCAGCAATTGCAAATGCCACAGCAAATACCTTTGCAGCAGGTACAGTATGATACTTAGCCCCTATCTTAGATCAGGCGAATTCGTCCAATTTTTTACTCATCAAACTTATAATGGTTCATCGGCGTATGTTGAATATAGCATGAGAATGTAAAGTGTGAAATATCACTTTGTAATCCATCGTCGAATGAGTTTCTATTAAAATTGCTCGGTACAAAAATGAGATTTTGTTGCGAACTTGCTTGCTGATTTCTATAAGTATGTAATGCATGGATCGACAAACTTCTTACTTCCCTACTTCTTTTTGCAGACTTTGTTATTCCGGGTTTTGAATCTGTTAGTTCGGAATATCCCATTTTGATCGTATCGATCATATTTCCGCATCATAGACTCATATGCATTACATTAATGGATATCTACATATGTTATTTATATTACGTGTTTTCATATTAATTATATCAATATAAGGTTTGATAGTGATCCGATAGCAATATTAAAGGAAGTAAAGAAGGCTGATTTATGAAACATTAATTATAATACCATGTCTTTTCCGATTTCTATGTTTGGGTCTATTCTAGAGCGTTTCAGCAGTGTCAATTACAGATCCAATATTCCTTTCTGAAATTTCATGTCTTAGCTATTCTTTCCAGGGCCTTTTATCGCAACCGCCTCAGCAGCAACAACAACAGCAGCTGCAAAATATCATTCATGGTAATAGTCATATGGTACTGCAACAGCGACCACAACAGCAACAGCACATAGGTCAGCCTATAATGCAGCAACAACAGCAGGGTAGCCGTCTAACTTCTTATCAGCAATCACAACCACAGGTTATGAAAGTTCCTGAGAATACATATCTTCAACCACATCATCTACCACCGATCGAGCAGCGGGTACAAGGAACTACTACGATACCGCAACAGCAGCAGCAGTCTCATCCACTGCAGCCAAAGAATGTAACATCAAGCAATTTACCGTCATATTATTCAGGCAGGAATGCTGCTGGTACAGCCAACTTTGCTTCAGCTCAAATGTCGCATCAGCAGCAACAGCAGCAGCATTTGCTTCTGCAGCACCAACAAACCTCTGATAACATGCAAAATATAACTAATCCAGTGAGTGCAGGTGCTGTACATGCTGTATCGCAGCTCCCCGATGTGCGCCAACAGGTAGTGCAAGCAGCATCATCACAACAGCAAGCAACTCAATTGGTAGCTCAATCACACCTGCAGCAGCAACAATCTATAAATTACGGTTCACATATGATAACTCCAACATGTAGTGCTACAGCTGTTGTAGCTGCACAGACTGTAGCTGCTGCATCTCGACAGCTGGATTTGAACAAACAAATGGGTTTATCAGCGACGTCGCTCCAAGAATCGATCAGAAGCAATCCCTATGATTTATATGCTAATTTACCGAAGAAACCAACAACCGGAGCAGTACAACCGCAGCACCAGCAGCAGGTGGTTTTTATCAATAGCTTTTCATGCTTTTCTCTTGTTTTGTTTCCTTGAAGTAAATTTATACTATGTTATACATTTTTTTTTTCGATAGGTCGTCGATCTACGGTTGAAAAGCCATCTATTGTTTCAAAGCATTGTTCAAGGTTTTCATATGACCAATTTATTAGCGTCATATATATTTTTTTAGACTCAAATAACGCAGGAGCAACAACAGGCAAAAGTTTCCACAGAAGTTCGTCAGAATTGTCCTAATCCATCATCACTTGCTTCACCATTAATGGGACGTGCTGGAGCATCTTCCTCCAGTGTAGCTGCAACAAATTTGCAAACCAGTCGATCAAGTGTATCGGTTAACGCTGCGCATCAAGCAAATCGTGCAATGCAACATCAGCAGCAACAGCAACAACTTTCGCCGACTGCGCAGCAAGCGGTTGCATTTGCAATCGGTTTGCCAGGCACTACTTCACCATTTACCCAAATGCAACAGCAATATCTGCAACAGATGTATCGTTCAACACTCTTCAATACCTTTCAAGGTATGATATATCAACATCGCTATTTTCATAACAGATGCTTTACTTATTTTGAAATGGATTTAGAAATTCCGTAGGATTGTTCAGCCGATGTGTCTTCCTTACTTATTTTTAAATCAAAGTTGCCACTTTGATTTAAAAACATTGAGTAGGTTAGCGGCAGTGTTCTGATCATTGATGTTTTGCAGCGGCAGCAGCAACAAGTGCGTATGGCGGTGGGAATGTAGCTGCAGCAACCGGCGCATATGGATCAAGTGGTTATTCAGGGACATCAAATAATCCAGCGGCAGCAGTCGCCGTTGCAGCTGCAGGTGTACTACCTAGTACTGTACGACAGGATTCCCAACGACAGCATCAGCAGCAGCCGCATCTAATGGTTAGCTTAACTCAATTTCTGTTTTCTAGTAAGTTGAGCATATTGCTGTTATAATCTTTTCTATCGGCTGTTATTTAGTACAGTGCTTCATCGTTTGGACCGTATAAAGCAGCATGGATCCCGAACCAGACTTATTTGTCAGCTGTCAAATCAACTTTTTTGTCATCGATTTGGGATCATGTTGCTGCATTACCCATGCTAAAAGTGACATCCCGGTAGGATGACCTCCTGGAGTGAAAAAAGAAAAAAATGCATGCTAGGGAGTTGTTGACAGTTTCTTTTATCAGATGCATTTTATAAGTTAATATAAAGTCACTTGAAATTCTTTATTATCTTAGGATCTTCAACAGCAACAACAGCAGCAGCAGTATTTGACATCTAATCTATATCAGCAGAGTTCGCCGACAACCACATTGTGCTCTCCTCAACAAGCTAATATTGCAGCTCATCAATTGAATTCCTTCTATGGTGCTGCAACTGGTACATTTCCGATTTCGTGCGAATCATCATTACTCTCTACACAACAGGTACGTTTAGTTGTTATTTAATTAGTGCTGATTCCAACGAAACTTTGGCTGTTGGAGTTCTGAAAAGACCTTAAAGGGTTCAGATTAGTCTTATATCACATATTTGAGCTTGAATAACCAGAGAATTGCAATTACAGATGACTGGTCAGCCGGGAATATATGTTGGAGTCGGACAACGTCAGCAAGATGTTAAACAGTCGTTGAAGCAGAAAATACCACAACAATCGCAGCAGCAAGTAAAGACTTATGCTGGCCTGCCAGCTGCATCGGTTATCGCCGTAAGTTAATGCTTATCTCGCGTTTCTTTTTGTCATTTTACTACTCGATTCTAAAGCTTAAATTTCCAATGTAATATATTGTAAGTGCTATTTTATTATGTTAGTCACTACTGATGTAAACAGTCAATGTTTGGTCATCTACAATGACAAATGGATGGGTTATATGTTTGATACTTGGCTGCATGTCTTACACTGTTGATGAAATGAAGCGTGTTGCCAGTTATCAAGCGTCTAGTCATAATTGGTCTATAAATGAGAACTTCTCGATTCTCTTCTGTAATATATTTTGTTTGTTTCACTTATCAGCATAGTCACTGCCACTTCAACGTGGGAATAAACTGAGCAAATTGGATTTCATACAAAAAAGTATCAAGTTTCGTGTAACAATTCTCTGATCCCATGTGATCAATATGCTGTAATAAATATCTTTTACATTTTATTTACAGCGGTACCCGGTCATGTGGCAAGGGATAATTGCGCTGAAAACAAATGAAACTCGTGTGCAGATGCACAAGGTAACTATGTTGCATGAATTAAATATTTCATCTTGATAAGCCTAATCGGCAAGTGGTCATTTCTGTTATCCTTTGTGTCCAGTAGTCTTTGGTGCATACAGCGGTAAACTTCTGTATGAATAAAGAGCATAGTAATATTATAAAGTATTAGGAAGCCTTGTTTTCGCTACACAGCAATTCATGGCAGCAGTTCATGTGATTTCACTAACTTTAATTGGTGAAGTAATGTTGAGCTGACAGGATCTCGATGTATTTTACGAATAGGAAAATGGATTTTTACAGGTTGGCGGAAATGCGGAAATGTGTAAACGATCGTTAGATCAGTTTACAACAACGTCGAATCACATGCCTTTAATACGAATTAACCAACGAATGCGTATGGAAGCGAGTCAGCTTGAAAGTGAGCAAATTCTTTCCATTCATTTATGGTGAAGTGTTTCAAATTTTATCATTCTGCTGAAAATTAAAACTGCCATTGTCTATTGGGGAACATATTGCCATATGCATCGTTTTAGATCCTCCATTCGAACTTTGTGTTAGAATGATATTAGTACTGCTTGAATTCCATGTCAATGTTGTTCAATTTATCTTTCAATTCCTTAATGTATGATCCCAAAAAAGCGCTAGATTTTTCTTCCAACTATCAAGACAAACAAACGGGATTTGAACGAAGTTAAATAATTTTTTCCCTGTTTTGTTTTTGGTTCTTGGAGCAAGGCAATTAACTGTTATAGGTGTTCAATGTAAAATGATGGATGAGCATTCGTACATTGCGTTGATTTGTCTTTCATGTGGTCCAAGCAAAGAAGATATAAAGAACCAATCTGAACTTCTCAAAGAACGTTTTGTTGATTACTTGGAGTCAAAGCAAGCTGCTGGTATATGCAATGTTGGCAATGAGGTAGAATCTTTAAATGATTTTGATGGGTTTTGCTTTTTTTCCGTTTTATACTATTTTCAAATTACGCTGTAATTTTCATAGGTGTCACATTTTTTCGTTTTCTGAATCAGGGAAACATTAAAATCGTAGTTTAGCGTTTCAAGTGCAACTTTTCCCACACTTTTCTAACTTTTTATTTTGCTTCAAGCTCTTGATTTTTCTAACCGTAGTTATATTTAATGTGGATCAGTCTAATATGCGGTTTGATTTCAAAATCTCGTTATTGAGAAGAAGTTGTCAATAATAAGATCTTGAAATTAAACGCTATATGGCTGTTTTTATTTGTTGAGAGAATAACTGAATACCTAATTGTTGTGGTGTAAAGATTGTTTTGTTAATTCTTTATCGTGCTGTATCTGTAATACGTCTGCATTTGTAATACTTCATCTATTTCAGCAGAATCCTACACCTAATACTATTGTGCACATCTTTCCACCGTGTGATTTTGCATCTGCATTCCTGCAGAAGAATAGTCCGGATTTGCTGGAAATATTCCGGCAACAGGAAGCTAGCTATCTGTTCGTCGTCATTACATCCGCTAATTAGTCTTCTGAAATAAGGGAGTCGTCTTCATCATACAAATTCTTGAGGAAGCAACATGTTTTGATCAATAAGGAGAAAGTGTTTGGATGGAAATTTGTCTGCAAAACGAAGAAGTTATGGTATATTGATCTCAGTTGTATACTGTAATTCGTTCAATGTTTCATTTCGGAAAGAATATTTTTCCTTAATCCATCTATGTGGAAATTTCCATTGGTTCTGTTCATATTTATTCGGGGATTTTTCAGATTTTTTATTTTAAGTTCGGGGATTCTTCAAATTTTTTGTTTTAAGATTTATGCTGAGTCGATCATATAAAATAATGAGGATGTTTGAGCTGCATATTTGCAGAGGGTGGTTGAAGGATATTATTTGGTTTAATCCATGGATGGTCTTAATGTTGTGAAATCAGTAGTACACTTATTTTGTCCGTCGACGCAGCAAGCAACATTTTCATATAGTACTGATATAGTGTTTCTGTACAATCACTGTAGAAAGTGTTTTTTCACTTTCGGTTTGCGATGATGCTTTCTGATGAAAGATTAATGGACGATTAATTAGTGCCAGATGCAATGAAGTTTTCCTTCGGTGTATGGTTGGTACTTCTTCACCGCATCCTGCATCTGTTTTTTTTAATTTTCTTCCTTTTCCTTTACTAAACTTTTTCTTCCGGCGTTGGAATTTGATCGTTACGGTTAAGTACCTTCTATTGCTACTATTAGCGCTCTTAATATTACTATCCAGATGCTATTATTCTGTTGATTGAACTACGTGTTCATTTCTAAAAGTATAATTATATAACTACTTGTATTTTGACTTTTCTAGCTAAATACTGGTTAATTTATTTTTCTATTGGTACTGCTAACTACTACTGTTATCTCCGTTGTACATTGATAAAACGTGCCGTTGATTTATGTGTGGCCCATTTCTGGTTGCTTTTAAAAAAATGAGTCAGTTTTTTCAAAAATATATGTTTGTGTTATCTTTTATAAAGATTAGCAGAAATATCATGTATCTGTTTTATAGTAGTTCTGATGTTACAAACACTAATTAATGTACATCTCTCATTCTCAATTTTGTTTGTTGAAATTTTTTTGTAAAATATGGTTCATGATGTTGTGCGCATTAGACGCCGTTCAGGAAAATTCTATCCATAAATGGACCACAGAATTTGTCCATAATTATGATTTCATAAATTGTTCATGTATTCACCCTTTAAATGAGAAAGGAAAGAGCATCGAGTTCCGGGAAGCGGGAGAGAGGTTGAAATTAATATGGTAGATTGTGTTCTCTCTAATAATTATATTGCTTTGCAAAGTAGATGATCTGAATTGAAGATGTAGGAAGTTCATGATTAGTCTTATTTGCAATGCAGTAGCGCTCTTATTGGATTAGATAAGGTTAAAAAATCTACGTTTTAAATCGCAGCACGGCATGTAGTGAAGGGCCTTCGTCATGTATGTATCTATGAGGCATATACTGCTACTATCACTGCAATCCTAAATGATTTGAAATGGATCAGAATTAGAAAGAACAGTATTTATATTTCATATGAAATCAAATGATTGCCACGGGAGATTTTTAAAAATGCTTTTAGGCTTCTTGCTCATTGTATAGTAGTTTGGGCAAAGTGTAATACAGATAAAAGGAATCAATTTGGTTTTTCAGGAATTGACCGGTAGGCGTGGCGCTTGTTTGAAAAAGGTTTTGGAGTTTAGTAATCGGAGGGAGTGCAGTTTTTTGACAAATTTAGGATCTAGTGTAGAAATTTTTTTGTATTGTTTTTTTCGAAGAGATTTTATGTATTTGCTGATTATTTACTTCATAAATAGATTTTCTGTTCCCTCGTTATCCAGTATATTCTATATTTTTTTTGATCGATTCTTTTGTTGACATTCTAAATACTCAATGTGCTGTTGGTCGTTTGGTTTCAAACGATGAATACATGTGTTTGTATGCTTTGTTAAAATATCGGAGACCAAATGAATTATTGATAAAAAAACAAGGATGTTATACTTGATAATTATGGCAGGTACAAATTAATGTAATGTTTGTAGCAGCTGGTTGAAAATAACACTTTTTTTAGCAAGTCAATTTGTTAATTGGAATTGGAAAGATTTTTTGCTTTGCTTATTAATGGACTTTTTGGTCTTCGTTGTTTCTTCGTGAAATTTGTACACTTCTTGGCTTCTTATATTTTTGAAAGCATTCATTTGTTGTCTGTAATTGGCAGTCAGTTTGTTTGTTTGTTTGTTTGTTTACGATGAACAAAAAAAAGACGAATATTTATGAATGTATAATAATGAGAAAGCTTTTTGTTTTTTTGTTTTTGAAATTTCATAAAATGAAAAAAAACGGACAAATTGTAAAAAATTACTGGGAAGTTCGATTCTTTTTGGCATTGTTTACTTAATATTTCTGTCATTTTTCTTTTTGTTTTACATACTTGAAGAAAAATAAATTTAAAATATCTATTCATTCATCTTAAATAGCAGCAAGACTTGCAATATCATGCGGTAAATGTGTTAGACAATAACAACTGTAAATTTTTTGGATAGCGAGGATTATTTATTCCAGAAATATAAGCTAGCTTTATGAAAGTTTCAATAGTGTTTCCGCTTCTTAGTAGTAAGTATTTGCTTTAAATGGTTTTTTCACATAGAATATTAACGAACTAATCCAATATAAGTTCATAAATAAATGGCGAGCAGTAGTAAATCAATTTACCATATTTGATTATTTCATTCATATAACACATAATTTTGGGCAATGAACTTATCTGTCCAATCAATCTTGAATTTGCGCCGACAGGTAAGTATTCAAAAGCAGAAGCGCAAACGGCTGTCAAGTGCGATAATTTTGCGCAACGTATTTGTTCAATTGATTTTACCGCAATAATAAGGTCTTACCATGGCCATATTGTGTGGCCAGTACTGTATCACAGAACTTCATTAGAGATGAAGCGAAGATGATGAGTGAGCGTAATTATATGGTGAATAGTTAATATTTTTGATAAAATAATCTTGGATTTTCAATCATAACAATTAGTACTTTCATTTTCGATTAGATAATTGCTAAATGAGATATTGATTAAATGAGATATTGATTCATCCATCAACTTGATCTTGATTTAAATCTGTTGCACATTAGTTGAGTAAATTCCATATTCCTTTTTCTTATCGTTACTCATCTACTACGAATGTCTTATAAATGGCAGCTTAAAATTACTATTATTTATGATACTAATAATATCCAATTAAGATTTTTGAATTCTTGAAATTTTGCAGAAAGAAGAGATTTGAAATATTAAAAAAAAAAAACAAAATAATTAATATTAATTTCATTTGCTTACAAAAATAGTTGCTTATTATCATGAAGAAAGATTATTAGCCTCACCTTCAAATTTTTCATCTTTCTTCCTTCATGTTACTTTATTAATAAAGTATTCAACTGTTTTGCCTTTTGTGCATCATTTACTGTATTCAAATGATGAGCATGGAAATGATCATCATTTCAATCAATTAATAATTGTCACTACGTTTTGCTTAACATCAAATGATAACGACATTAATTAATTTTTTAGATCTACTGGCAAGATATAACTAATATCTTACATTCTGTTATATGTAGTTTTTATGTAGTAATCTATATTTATATTAATAATTTTAACTATTTTAATAATTTAATAATTTTGTAAAAACCCATGAATAATTTGTGCATTTTTTAGCAACGATGATGGGAAAAGATTTCAATGCAGAAAAATTTAATAATGTAACCGAGAATTTACATTTTTTAAAGGGGTCGATGATAGCAGAGATAACGGATACTGCAAGACAACGTGCTCAGTCAATGATTGATGTTGTAAGTTACAATTAATCGATTGAAAATGTATTATCATGTAATTGCTTGAATTCATTTCTCTATATTTCTTTTACAGTTTTATTTGCTTTCGATTTATTCTTATCATTATTGGATGATTATCTCGAAACTGGACAGGTAAGAAATCTGAAAAAGTCATGAGTTATTAATTAGGGATTTCATGACACTCTTTTACATATTCCAGATACTACAGTTAAAATAGTCAGATTACATTAAATTTATTTCATTGGATCCCACTGAATTCTTTACCCAATGCTAATTTACTTAACAGGTAATAAAAAGAAATAATTTAGACTAAATGATGTTGGATGAGTAGTCAAAGATTATGGTGTATTATTATATGTCAGGTTGTTGTTTCTATTTTCAGGACGATCAGTTACTGAAATTAATTTCATTTATTGATTTAACTACTCTAAATAGTGATGATACGAATGATGTAGTCGAGCGGCTTATTGACAAAGCTGTCTTACCATATCCTGTGGTTCGTTAATTGTTGGAAACTTTAAGGTATAAAAGGGAGAGACATAACTTGAAGCAAATTTTATTACAATTAAAAAGAGTTATTGCGTTAGATATCATACTATTAAGACATCGGATATGTAAGTTGATCTTAGATTTAAAATTTCTAGCTCTACTAAATTAATTGAAATTATCAAGTTGTTAGTGACTTAAATCGATTTTTTTGAGTATAGAATTTCTAGTTACTAACAATTCAAGTAATTCATTTGAGAAGCCGGAAACGGAATGCGCCGCTATTTGTGTTTATCCGGCAAGAATTACAGGCGCTAGACGTTACCTGCATTCGAAGTATGACCAACAACAATCGTTAGCTATATGTTCAGGTATCACAAGTTTGCTTATAATTTCACGGTGAAACGTAATCATTTATGAGATTTCAATGTATTTTATGGTCTACATTATTATGTGATATTACGAATATGCTCATGCATATATGTATCTAAAGGGGATATATAAAACCATCAAATCATATATCCTTGTTCATATGATTATTCATTGATTATTCTGGTAATTGCAAATTTTAGCAACATCAGTAAATTTTTCAGTGGCAGCAGGTTTCCCTTCGGGGCAGTACCGAATAGAATCGAAAATATTGGAAGTGAAATTGGCAGTGGAAGATGGAGCTAATGAAATTGATATTGTCATCAGTCGTGATGCTGCGATGGAACAAGATTGGAAACGTGTGTATTGTTTTCATTAGAAGTCTTATACTCAATTAACTAAGTGTAATTGCTATTGAACTGAGTATTAAATAGACATCAAAACTGCTCAAAGCTCTATATTTGTCAAATTTTTTCAAAAGTTTCAAGTAGTTGGAATAATAGTTAATTTTAATCACTTGATGGGGTCGAATTTAGATTGGAAGTGTAGCATTATGAACTTTCTTTTTCGGGAGATTAATGCTGAATATAAGTATGAACAGCTGCAATTTATAGGTGTATACGATGAAGTAGCTGCTCTGAAAGCATGTTGTGGTTCGCATTGCATGAAAACAATTCTAGCTACAGGTGAACTACAGAACAATGCTAATATCTATCGTGCTAGTTGGGCTGCAATGCTTGCAGGTAATTCTAACACTTGTCTTCACTATGATATAGTATAACTTTATTTTCATTTAAGTATATTTTTGACTCTATCGATACTCATCAAATTTTCAAATAAAAATTGTTATTCCTTTTTTATACTCAAACTTGCGTTCTTTTTATTGATTTATATGCTTATTTTTTAGTATTATGAACAATTAAGAATTTTTATTAGTTTAAACTTTTGATAACCATCCAAAAGCTCTTGAAATTACTAATATGCTTGGATACTGGGAACCTTTCAATTAATTCGGGATATATTCCTATACAATGTTGAAGTTTTAGACACTTTAGAGCATCTCCATAATTCAAAAATTTATCTAAAAATTTGTTCATGAGGAGGAATTTTTACCTGTTAATGCTGGATTCATTTTAGACTGTGAGGCTTCAGTAAGCTAGATGATTTGTCCTTCTGTTCTCTGTGAATTTATGTGTACATATTTTCGATAATGAGAATAGATCATTTCACATAGTTGTAGTGTTAATTTTTTTAAGGCAGCGACTTTATTAAAACCTCGACGGGAAAGGAGAAACTGAATGCAACATATGAAGCTGCTTACGTTATGTGTCATGCTATCAAACAATTTCACTCTCTTACAGGTCATTCCATTTTTCTGTTTATTATAATTTAATAACTTGCTTTTAAAGAATTTATTTTCATATATAGTCAAAACGATTCATTTTTTCTATTTTATCTTTTCTGTCCCTCATAAACTTTGCAGTTTAAAAGTTTGCTTGTAATTAGCTGTAACTACTATTTCAGACTTTGTAGTTAAGGAATTGATTTCTGGATTCTTTTAATTTAAACCAAGGAAACTTAGGAAAATTTTATAGTAGAATTTGATATTTTTCTCTCAAGATAAACATTGCTGAAACGTTTTCAGGAAAGAGGGTTGGTTTCAAGGCGGCAGGCGGGATTAGATCAACTCTGGAAGCTTTGGAATATCAGGCTATAGTGGAAGAAATTCTTGGCCCAGAATGGCTTGAACCAGACTTGTTCCGTATTGGAGCAAGCAGTTTGTTAGATAATATTATCAAGGAATTAGATAAAAAATAATCTCAGGACGATAACTAAAAAAATAATCTCAGGATGATAACCCCTTCCTATCGCCGTTTCTACTATTAGTCTTACAGTAATATCAAGAGATACCTGGAACTTTAATAGCTACCATAGAATAAAATGAGTAACTAAATAATCATAATAAGATGCGCGAAATCCAACTTTTTAAACTTGAGCAATTATCTTGCTTCCCTGTTTTGATATTATGATATTTTTATTTACATATCTAATTTACTTGCATATCACAAACCTTTATTTTTGCTTATGTCTGTCTTAACATTACGCAACACCTTAATTTGACAAATTTAACTGAAAGAAATAGTGACTCCTTTCAGTTAGATTTGAATTTGATTTTTGTGAAATTATTGTGATTTTTGTGAAATTATTGTTATCCCAATATGCCATTATTGCCATTGTTTGTTTTCTAATACCTTATAGTAAATCTTGAAACATAAAGTAATCCATATTAATTACTTTACTAATTAATTACTTTATTCGATTGTTTCAAGCACAGATTTCTATCCATATATATTGCATAATCTCGTTATTCTCTCCATTTTGATTTTAAGTCATTTTAATAAAAATTGCGAAATAAACCGTTTTTTTTGACACTTCTGATAATATATCAAAGTAGTTTTCTGGTTACTGATATATTATAAGCCATTAATTTGATTTGATCAAACAGGAATATTTTATGACAAATGGCAGATAAATAGAGTTTATAAACAGATGAAGATAAATTTGACTACATGTTCATCTCAAGATTCGAAAGGAGTAAACTATAAGTGCCAGAGAAAACGATGGTCTTTTTCTTATGTTGTTGTTGTTGAAATTATGCCGTTGTGGAAGTAATTTTAATTTACTTCCAGGTAATAACTTATGACTTCCTGCTCATATGTAATAGTTGGTGGTGGCGTTGCTGCTGTATCGTGTGTGGAGGAAATACGAGCTATGGATGAGAAGGCTCAAATTATCGTTGTGTCGAACAGTCAACTGATTAAAACTGTAATTCATCAACAAAAAGTAATCACTTTTCTTTTCAAATGTAACTTAGATTATCCTTATATTACCACTTATGCCTTACTGTTTTCATTTATTATGGTATCTTATTGGTTTACTCCAATCTATGGCCTCATAATATATTTAGTTCCTCTTTTAATGATAGAGATGATGTTCAACATACTTTTGATAGCGCTTTTACTCTTCTCTATTTTATATTTTTAAAATTTTTTAGATTGGCCAATTGACTGAATTATTTGATATTGCTGAACAGCCAGTGACAAGTGTTTTTGCCGGTCTTGATGTTACATTTGTGAAAGCAACCGTGACTCACTGGAACTGGAAAGATAAGGTGAGTTTTGGTTATTCATTTATGCCTTAGATACATACATTGTTTATTACTGTTGATGAGTCAAATTCATAAAAAATCCGTGCAAACCTTCCATCCTGTTAATGATTGATTAATTAGTATGCAATAAGCAATAAGCCATTAATATTGTGATTAATAATTAATATAATTGTGACAATCGTAATTTATAGAATTTAAAAAATTTGTTTCAGGAACTTTTACTCGATAATGATCAGAGAATTATGTACGATAAATTGTGCATAGCTACCGGAGGCCGGCCAAAAGTAAATATTTTAAGATTTTTTCCTTAAGACGAAGGAATAAATGGACAGAGATAGTCCATTTGAGATGAATAATACCAAACTGTTGTAGATAAACTTTCAACATGCATTATCCATTTCAATCAGAGACACGGAAACTGTGGATCGTTTGAGGATTCGAATTAAAGATGCAAAACGAGTACTGGTAATTGGAAATGGCGGTATTGCAACAGAAATTGTGTAATTTTTATAAAGCCAATTTTTTTCCTGAATATTATTGAAATACAATCATATGTTGTTGATTGAAACATTTAATTTTTATAAAGAATGAAAGTAATACTATTTACTGTTAGTTTTTTCATTCGACCATATACTTATCATTTTAAGAACATCTCTGTATTTTGTGAAGACATTACATTGTTTCAATTGATCAGACATGAATTGAAAAATATCGAAATTATCTGGGCTGTACGTCATTCTTCAATTTCGGCAACATTTTTCGATGAGGGCGCTGCCGAGTTCTTTAAACCAATGCTCATAAATGGCCAGAAGAAAGGACAATCAAGCAATACAGCTTCGAAAAGGTACCGGTTTACTGTGGATAGCGAAAAGGAAAATGGTGTAATAGGTTGTGCACTGGGACCTCAATGGGCATCAACAGCTGATATTACCGGAGCGCTGAATGTATGTTACAGCTTTATATATACTTTCCAGTTTTATCGATCGTATTTTGCTGTTTCTATTAACTAACTTAAGTTTTTTTTTCTTCTTCCACTGCTTAAGAAACATTTATGTTTTATGCATGAGCGAATTCTGTGGCTTCATCTTGATAAAAAATTAATTGGAAACGCCACTTTCCACTATCAACATGCTATAACACGCGCTGAAAAGTTTTTTTTCACACTTGCGGCAATGAAAAGGACAACATTCAGAATATAAAATGAAACCTCGAAACTATTTTTGTTTGCCTTTCTACATATAATTTTCTCGTTATATCATAGCATTATAAATAATGTATTATATTAAGCATCGACAAGTGCAGGTGATTTATGAAGTTGAATTGAAAGGATTCGTATCTCAGGATATAGCACATAATGTTGCTGTTCAGAAAGATTGTTTTAATTTTTCTACTGGTGTGTGGCCTTTGTATGTTGAATTGACAAATGGGGAGATAATTGGATGTGACTTAATGATTGAGGCTACTGGAGTGCAGCCGAATTCTGATCTCTGGGCTCGCGACTGTCATCTAGTAAGTTCTAGTTATTTTCAGAGAATTATCGAGAAGGATGATAATCATTTATATGGTCGCAAACGTTTTTTTTTTCTCGCAACATCATAAATATATTCTTATTTTAATAAGCGATAATGAGTTATTAAAATGATAATTAGGGGATGAATAATATTTATTATATATTGTATTCGTTTAGTTGAATTTGGCAAGCGACGGTGGAATAATTGTAGACGAACATATGTTGTCGTCAGTTCAAGATGTGTACGCATGTGGCGATGTATGTACTGCAGGTTGGCCTTGGGCAAAACATTGGATGCAGGTTACTTTTATTCATATGAATTAAATTTTTTATCTGAACACTTCTTTGCAGTTTTAAATCTTTCTTAATTAAACTTTTTTTTTTGCATTACAATTAAAAATCCACGCAACCCATAAATATTTCCAAAAACTTGTATTAGTCCTAATTGTACATCTATAAATAAAGAATTCTGAGAAAATTCGTTTTTTGAACTGATACATGAATATTACTTGTAAAAAAATGTTTGATTTGTTTTGTAGATGAGGTTATGGACACAAGCACGCCAAATGGGTGCATATTGTGGCCGTGCAATGGTATTTGGAAATGCAATTTCACTTGATTTTTGTTTCGAGATGTTTACGCATGTGACATTTTTCTTCGGGTTTAAGGTTTGATTTTTTGAATGAATTAATTGGCTTATGAAAGAATGGAAACCTCTGAATATCTGCATACTTTGAATGCTGTCGTTTTCATCTGCACTACAGCATATTAAAATATAAAATGTACTGACTGAAAATATTCATGAATGGCTTAGAAATGAATTTTTTAGTACTGTTTTTTTAGCTGATTACATATTTCTATACTCTCTAAAAAATGTTTGCTAACTGATTGCAAAACATTATTATACAATAATAGTGAAAATGAATATTAAAGAAATTTTTCCTGTCTCTTCATTCTTCATTCTTCAAATTTAAGAATTCTGAAAAACGAAGATTTTTTCATTTCATATGATTTTCTATTCCTTTTCACTTTTCTTGCACTATTTTTCTACACATTTCTACTGCATATATCTTATTAATTTTTACAGGTTATATTTCTGGGCCGTTTCAATGGTGAAGGCGTGGAAAAACCGTTCCATGTATTAATGCGTATTACGACTGATGTTGAATATGTAAAACTTATTATTGCTAACGGACGTGTACAAGGTTTGCGGTTGCGTAGATTGAAATGATATTTTATCATGTACTGGGCATTTCAAAACAGAAAAGAACTTTTTTTGACGAAAATTCAATGACGACAAATGAGCACATAACAAATAGTTACCATTTAGAAAGTAGAACTTCGCAAAACAGTTACTCAAAGATCAGATGTTTCCCGAAGACATGAATCTTTTTAAAGGTGCCGTACTAGTTGGTGAAACGAATCTAGAAGAGACGATTGAGAATCTTATTTTGAATCAGATTGACATCAGCCAAGTGGAAGAAGGTCTTCTGGATCCAGACATTGAAATCGCTGATTATTTTGATTGAATTTTCAAAACTATATTGGATAAAACTGAAACCAATTGAAGTATCGTGAATACTCGCATTATATATTGCAACTATAATTTTAATTGCCTGTTCTTTTGCGGATAGAAACACATTAACTATGTCGATCCACCAAAAAGTTTAACTTCTTTGATATTTTTTGAAAGTAGTAATATATGAAGAATTTAGAAGTGTCTTTTTATTATGTCAGAAGTTTTTTCTTCCCTTAATTTTTGTGATATTTACATCTGTGATTTGAAATATCAGAAAAATATCGAAAAACCATACGTGCAATGAAATGTGTCAATCACACTTTAAACAAACATTAACTTTTGCAAAGGTTGACTGATGCTCTCCGTGGGTTTGAATCACGAATCTTTCGGTCAACGATTAAACGCGCTAATCGATTGCGCTATAGAATTTCACAGTGTAGATGGAAGCTTTGATTGATTCAATTAAAAAAATTCGGACTATCTATAAAAAATTAGTCCACTAATTCAGCGGTGGATAATGTGTGACATATAAGAGCGGAATGATTCGGGAACCAAACGCATTATTCCGGAAAATAGTAAAATGCACAATATAGCGCCTATCAATTGTAGCAATTTGAATTTCTTCTACTGTTATGAACTGTAATTGAGTTAAAAATAGATCTGAAATTTAAATATGTATAGAATAATGTTGCGAAAATGTTCATAATACTTCAGATTTCGTGCAAAATTTCAGACTTACATCATTTATCTCAAATCAGAAGTCTAAAAATTATTTTAGTTCACACGTTGATTTTACGAGTTACAAAACAGAAAAGAATGAATATATCGCAATTAAAAGAATGTATCATTGACTTGTAGCATCGAAATCGGAAACAAACATATTTTAATTGTGACATTGAAACAAGAAAAAAAGTGTAAAATGAAAAATGGCAAATAAATTGGATAGATAATAAACAGATAAGTTGAAATGATGATCATTGAATTAAAAGGAAAGTTAGAAGAAAACATGAGTGAGAGAAAATTTTCATTGAATCCTACATATATATGTATATATTATCGTCATTCCATTAGTAAACAATAAACAGTAATAATGAATGATAATCAAATATATTGATGATAATATAATTATCATCAATATATTTCACTCGAATTATAAAATAGAAAAATTTACATCATAACTATTTCATTTCCTACCTTTTGAATAATATTGATATATATCACTTTAAATGATCAATTCATTATCAATATCAACAAACTGAAGTAATGTTATATTTTCAAAAACATGATCATCTCTTAAGTCCTTCGGTTTTTTTGTTTGTAATGTATCGGAAAGAATAATATCTGTTATCGGTCCATCCCATTTCACGTTAAAATATGCTGCTTGTTTCGCAAAAACCGATTCACGAATATGTGCAATATCAAATCGATGTGGAACGTTATACATAATCTGTCAGGAAAAAATTTTTTTTTCTAATTAAGAATAAAATTTGTTAAATTTTATGAATCAAATAATTTTTGTATTTTGATAATTAAAAATTTATGAAGTAAAATATATTCTAATTATTAATTTGTTTATTGTAAAATGTTATATGATATAAAATATTATATGCATTGGGTGAAGAATTTATTGTTAATAAAAGTTTAATTATAAGAAAAAGAAAAGTATGATAATGATAAATAACAAACTGCTAATGTTTCGCCTGCATTTATAAATGATATACTACCAATTTGTTCGAACATATCGCTTGTATAGAGACCTTTTTCAATTTTTAACGTAGT